TGAAGTTGCTTGTAAATTCAGTAAGCTGTAATATGGGAAATTTCTCCAAGGGAAAAAGAAACTGAAAATAAATATGATAATCCTACATGTTGCTACTAAGAAGAACAAAACTAAAACTAGAATTATATCTGTGGATGTTAGGCTTATTTAGAAAAAGAAAAATTTCCTTTATATTGCACTTTTAAATATTTAGGGTAATGCTATCATATGGAATTGGCTGACACAATCAGCATATTTCCTAGAGGAAATTAATTAATGGTATATTTTATTTGTTTTAACAAAGCTTAAAATCTTGTGATCTGAATTCATTCATTGTTACCAGCACTTGTCCCTAGGTATGATGGACATGCCATCTCACAGACCATACTGGTTGGCTTTCATTTGTTATAGGAAAGATTCCTTCAGAAGATATTTATGTTGGTTTTTCTTTTTATAGATATAGATATAGATACAGATATATATATATACACACACACACACACACACACACAGATAATATCCATCTATCCTCTTCCCTTCTGGATTTGGAGATATTGAAATGTTTGCCAGTGTATCTGATACCAATCAAGCTGGAAAATTTGAGTTAGTAGTAAATGTTGCAGGTACATAGTAGCATTTTATTTTCCATTCTTGCCCCAACAGTATCTGCCTAAATAATGTAGAGGTTTTGTCAAGGTTTTAAAGCACAGTGAATCTTTAAAAAGAAAGGGGGGTTAGACAGCACTGTGGCGAAGTGGGTTAACTCCCTGCCCTAAAGTGCGGGGTATCCCATATGGGTGCCAGTTCAAGACCCGGCTGCTCCACTTCCTATCCAGCTCCCCGCTATGTCCTGGGAAAGCAGTAGAAGATGGCCAAAGTCCTTGGGCCCCTGCACCTGCTTGGGAGACCCAGAAGTTCCTGGCTTCAGATCAGCGCAGCTCCGGCCATTGCAGCCAATTGGGGAGTGAACCATTGGATGGAAGATTCTCTGCCTCTCTGCCTCTCTCTCTCTGCCTCTCCTCTCTCTGTGTAACTCTTTCAAATAAATAAGTAAATCTTAAAAAAAAAAAAAAAAAGAAAAAAGAAAAGCACAGTGAAAGATCCTCATAGCTGTCTAGCACAGATCTAGATCTATGGCGTGAGTTGGAAACATCTGTTTTCAACTTTTTGCTATTTGACATAGTTTATCTCATTCTTTAAACAGACGTTTCCATGTATTAAACTTGCGTTCTGTTGAGAGTAAAAGAGAATGAGTTTCACAAAATTCAGTGTTCTTTCTTTTTATTCTCCCTTCAGGAAAAACTCATTTCTAGGTGTTAGAATATCAATTTTCACCTGAGTACTGTTCCAGAATACCAGGGCTTCTGTGCTCTGGCCCCTGCTCCCGGTCACCCTTTAGAAAGCAAGAGCAGTTGCAATTAGAAACTTTCCTTTGTAAATACGGTTTTGTATAGCTACAGTTTAGCTTCTCTGGTATTTTTTCTTTCTTTCAGGTTATAGTAGCTAATAGTAATTTCAGGGTAAATCTATTTTGGGGGAATCAGTAACAAACTTTATAACACTGGAATTTCCCATCAGTTGTGTAAGGAACTCTGTAAAACTGCTTCCAGGACTTTTTTATTTTTTTTCTGGGATCCAGATTTTTGATCATATTGGATCAGTCTTCTGGCCTTTTCAGAAGGAACCTGCATGCAGTTTTACTTTACCGAAGATCTGTGCATCCGCAAATGGTGACTGAGCACAAGATAGCTTTTTCTGCATGCTGTGTGCCTCTAATTTAGGAAGTAATTCAGTTTCTGTGCAAGGCTTCACAATTCATTTGGTTGAACATTTTGTCTAGCCCTTGAGTTCCTAGTAGAAGCATATCCCTAAGATGCAGAAAAAGAGAACAGTTCTTTCTCACTCCCTCAGTATCCTGGAAACCCAAAGGATAGGTTTGGGAGAAAGTTTGGCCATTTGATTTACCAAAACACATCATGCCTATAACATTAAAATTGAATCCATATCTACTTTGAGATATGCTGGAAATTTGCATTAACTTTTTTTTTTGCATTTAAACTTCTGTTTCTTTGCATTGAGTCTAATTTTAAGTAAGTTTGTTAGAGAAAGCTTTTCACTGATTTAATAAAAGGCCTCAAATTTTTAAATGTGGTGATACCTATGAAGTGGACTTGAAGTTATAACCATGCTAAAACTACTGTTTAGAGAGTTGCAGTATAATAATTTTGATTACATGTTCTTGTTTCATAGAACATCAGTACTCCTGGTGTATCTTAGTAACTCAGGAGTTTAATTTTAGAAGGTGAATCTGTACCTGATATTTTTAAATATTAATTTGGATGCCTTATCACACAACTGATGATTTGATTATTAAAAAAAAAGCCTGGGCGGGGGGTGGCACCGAGGCTCACTTGGTTAATGTTCCGCCTGCGGCACCAGCATCCCATATGGGTGCTGGGTTCTAGTCCCGGTGCTCCTCTTCCAGTGCAGCTCTCTGCTGTGGCCCGGGAGGGCAGTGGAGGATGGCCCAGGTGCTTGGGCTCCTGCACCCGCATGGGAGACCAGGAGAAGCACTTGACTCCTGGCTTTGGATCGGCGCAGCGCCGGCCGTAGTGGCCATTTGGGGAGTGAACCAACAGAAGGAAGATCTCTCTCTCTCTCTCTCTCTCTCTCTCTTATATATCTACCTGTCAAATAAATTAAAAAAAAAAATAACCCTGGGGCCAGCACTGTGGTGTAGCGGGTAAAGCCTCTACCTGCAGTGCCAGCATCCCATATGGGCAACAGTTCAAGTCCTGGCTGCTCCTCTTACCATCCAACTCTCTGCCATGGCCTGGGAAAGCAGTAGAAGATGGCCCAAATTCTTGGGCCCCCTGAACCCATATGAGAGACCTGGAGAAAGTTCTTGGCTCCTGGCTTCGGATTGGCCCAGCTCTGGCCATTGTAGCCATTTGGGGAGTGAACCAGCAGATCGAATACTGACTCTCTCTCTCCCTCTCTCTGACTCTGCCTCTAACTTCACTTTTCAAATAAATAAATAAATCTTTAGAAAGAAATGAGTTAAATAACTCCTGTTATAACTGTTACCATTATGGGTAACAAAAATCTACCTCTTAATAAAAGCAAACAAAGCTTGCAGAGCCGAAGGTAAGGAGCATTTGATTTAGTCCGGATTGGATTAGAGGTGTTAACAGAATTCTTTTTTTTTTTTTTTTTTTTTTACAGGCAGAGTGGACAGTGAGAGAGACAGAGAGAAAGGTCTTCCTTTTTTCCGTTGGTTCACCTTCCAACGGCCACTGTGGCTGGCGCACCCCGCCGATCCGAAGCCAGGAGCCAGGTGCTTCTCCTGGTCTCCCATGCACTTGGGTCCTCCTCCACTGCACTCTTGGGCCACAGCAGAGAGCTGGACTGGAAGAGGAGCAACTGGGACAGAGTCCAGCACCCTGACCGGGACTAGAACCCGGGGTGCTGGCGCCGCAGGTGGAGGATTAAGCCTATTGAGCCACAGCGCCGGCCAGTTTCCTCCTGTTTTTGACAGTTCCTCAGCCCTTCCTGGTACATCTCACCAGGAGACATTGCTCTGATTACTGGTGTTTTTGTTAACTTGAATCATTTGGCTAATGGTATATGCTAGGTTTCTTCACTATGAATTTATATGGGGGAGAAACTCTGGAACTGTGCAATATCTTTTTTTTTTTTTTAATTTATTTATTTGAAAGAGTTACACAGAATAGAGAAGGGGAGAGAAAGAGAGAAGAGAGGTCTTTCATCCACTGGTTCACTCCCCATTTGGCTGCAACAGCCAGAGCTGTGCTGATCCGAAGCCAGGAGCCAGGAGCTTCTTCCAGGTCTCCTATGCAGGTGCAGGGGCCCAAGGAGTTGGGCCATCTTCTGCTTTCCCAGGCTATAGCAGAGAGCTGGGTCAGAAGTGGAGCAGCCAGGACTAGATGCCGGCACTGCAGGCAGAGGCTTTACCCACTATGCCACAGCGCTGACCACACAAATATATTTATCATATTTTTGCCCACAAAATTTTAGCATGCGTTCATGAATTTTGCCTACAGCAGTTATTACTATGATGTTTGCCAAGTGTTTCCTTATTTGAGTAACAGAATGTTCCCATCTGCTGGTTCACTCCTCCAAATGCCTGCAGTGGCTGAACAGCAGCTGGGAGCAGGGAGCCTGATTTAGGTCTCCCCCTTGAGTGGCAGGAACCCAGTTACATGCGCCATCATCAATGCCTCTATAAAGATTTGCATTAATAGGAAGCTGGACTCGTGAACTGGAGTCAGGAATCAAAGCCAAGCACTTAGGTTCATGGGCATCTTAACTGTGGGGCTACACACCTGCTCCCCCCCTCTCCATTTATTAATTAAAAATTTGCTGTATCACTGCTAGCCTTTTTCTCCTGTTTACTTAATCATTTATGTCATTTGAACTTGTCAATTTTACAATTTGAGTTATCACTTATGATTATGAGGGAACTTTAAAAGATTGGAAAATAGAATTAAAAGATAAGTTTGTTTTGGTGCAAAAAATTTAGAAATCCATGCTCATGAGGGGTCTTTAGAGAGTTCAAGGAAAATGTATATAGTGAAAGAACTATGTATGGATCTCAAAAATTTTGTGCAGCTGCCAGCACCACAGCTCAGTAGGCTAATCCTCCGCCTGCGGCGCCAGCACCCCGGGTTCTAGTCCTGGTCGGGGCGCTGGATTCTGTTCCAGTTGCCCCTCTTCCAGGCCAGCTCTCTGCTGTGGCCCGGGAGTGCAGTGGAGGATGGCCCAAGTGCTTGGGCCCTGCACCCCATGGGAGACCAGGAGAAGCACCTGGCTCCTGGCTTTGGATTAGCACAGTGTGCCGGCCGCAGTGGCCATTGGAGGGTGAACCAACGGCAAAGGAAGACCTTTCTCTCTGTCTCTCTCACTGTCTAACTCTGCCTGTCAAAAAAAAAAAAAAAAAAAAAATTGGTGCAGCAAGAGAAACTTCTCTATGAATTCCAATTTCCAGACTTTTTTTTAACTTTTTTGTTGTTGTTGTTGAATTTGAGAGAGTTACAGAGATAGAGACAGAAAGGGAGAGGTCTTCCATCCAGGAGCTTCTTCCAGGTCTCCCATGCGTGTGCAGAGTCCCAAGGACTTGGGCCATCCTCTGCTGCTTTCCCAGGTGCATTAGTAGGGAGCTGGCTTGGAAGTGCAGTGGCTGAGACCTTAACCAGCACCCATATGGGACGCCAGCACTGCAGTCTGGGGCCTCAACCCACTGGTGCCACAGTTCCAGCCCCTTTTCCAGACTTTTTAAAGTACCATCATACTTATTTAGTTGCTTGAATTGGCACACTTTGACTATTAGTGTAACTCCTTCAAGTCTCTTTTAAATGCTCCCATCATTTTTTGAGCGCCTCCTGGCTTTTTTGCACCATGAAGTGCTCCAGATTTAGCTACTTCCCTGCCTCCATCAAGAAATCGCTTGACTTCTCCTGGGAGCTCTGATACCTTTTATAGGAGAATATTTAAATAGAAACGAAGGTGTCAAAACTAAGTGTGCTCATTACTATTGAAGCATCTTTGATTCTATACTGTCTCAGCCTAGAGAGCTAGGAGAGTGAGTGAGTGAGTGTGTGTGTATGTGTGTTCTCATACATACGCATACCATGCGCACATCTACATTGATCGGAACAATCTTGAGTTCTCAGGGATTCTTCTGATTCCAGCCTATCCACAGGCTTCGTTCCCATCTCCTTATTTATAACCTTTTTCTGACCATGAGAAACATAGCTCTAATTATCCAGTGTATCTACTTATTTGTTCAGTCCTGGAAAACTTGAAATACTTTCAGAATTGCTAGCCTACATCTGTGTGATTAAGATTATACTTCTGTACATGTATAAAATATGTCTTTGGGGAGGACATTTGATGTAACAGTTAAGATACCACTTGGGATGCCTGCTTCTGATATCAAAGTGCCTGGGTTCAAGTCCAGGCTCTACTCCCAGTCCCACCTTCTACTGATGTGCACCATGGAGGCAGCAGGTGATAACCCAAGTACTTGGGTCCCTGCCCACCCATTTGAGAGACCAAATTGAGTCCCTTGCTTTGGCCTGGCCCAGCCCTAGCTGTAGGCATTTGAGGAGTAAAACAGTGGATGGGAGATATATATATCACTATCTCTTTGCCTTTCAAATAAATAAAAGTTAAAATATGCCTTTAAACTTAATAAAAATAAGTACTTTTTATCATGCATTTTTTTTCCTCTGGCTGTATTTCTAGAGTCTCTTGATTATCAGCAGTCATCGTCCCCATGGTCAGCCATTTTTTCTGTAATTCTGTGATGTTCAATTTGAATTTCACTTCCAGCATTATCACTTTTTGTCTCTTTGATGCACTTTGATCTTGGCCAATCACTGAGAGATGAGGTGTCCACACAACAGCATTTTGTTGTCTGTCCCTGAACGGCAATTGATGTGCAGTGATCAGTCACTGGCAGACCTTGAAGAAATGACATGGTTGGTCACTGGTCATGATGGCTTCTGTTACCCACTTGGTGACCTGTGGACTGAAGAGCTGGCAGTGAAGTTGCCCACAACCCACATACTGAGGTTACTGAAATTTACACAGATCTGAACTATGCAAGGAAAGGCCTGCCAGTTCCATAACTTGGAAGGTACTCATATTTGGTAATAGTGATATTTCTCCTATTTTACAACTTTGGTGAATTAAGTAATTAAAATTTTTATTTATTGTAGAAGTAGATGGAGAAACACTTTCTTTTGATTCCTGGTTAGCCATCCTCTCCCCACTCAAGTCCATTTTTGTCTTTTTAGAAATGGGATGTGGGGCAGGTAGCAATGTTTTTCTGGGGCAGTGGCTCTAGGACCCTTAGTACTAAGTTCGTCTTGAGAACCCAGAATTTAGATTGAGTTTAACTTGAATGAGAGATTCTTTGGGTGCAAAATTATACCTTATTGTTCCTTTCTCCTTAGATCGATATAGAAATCAATGGCAATGCAGTGGATCTTCACATGAAGTTGGGTGACAATGGAGAAGCTTTCTTTGTGGAGGAGACTGAAGAGGAATATGTGAGTTCTCAAGGATTGCATCTACTTTAGCTGTTGTGCTCAGGTCTCCTGTACATGCCCCAGAATAGTTCAGTAGTTTTTATACTTGGTTGTAGCAATAATTGTTACTGGTTAGGCAAGCTTTAGCTTAGGTTGGAAAACTAAGCTGTGGAAAAAAACTGGAGAGATAAGGAACTTTCTCTACATCACGTTTGAGGGTACAGCGAGCATAGAAAAAAGCCTTTGTACTTGCTTTTTCTGAAAGGAAAGGTCCATCTTTTTTTACTTTATTGATTTTTCTTATTTAATGCTTATTACAGTTTACACCTTGATTTGAATTCATTCAGTTCTGCCTAAGTAATCAAGACGTATTGCCTAAGACTGTTTGCACACATGTAACCTTTAAACTGAGAAAACATGTTTACCATTTTAGTTAAGGACGTTACATTCCTAATCTTGAATGGAAATTAATTTATTATGATCTTAAGAGATCTCAATTAAATTGGCCTTTGTCCTTTTATGAGTGATTATGTGTTTGGCCTCTTTCATCATGAGAGATACTTTGTCTACCTTCCTCACCCATCCACACACTCACACACAGCTCTGTATCTGCCACTTTGAACTGTGGTAGAACTTTTCTTGATGAATTTAATATAGTTCTTCTAAAAACAATCTTTAGAAGTCATCTTTACATTTTTCTGCATAAAGAATAGTACCTCAGATAGCAAAAGTGATAAGCTTCATGGAACTGAGACTACAGGACGACTATTTTGGTCTTAAAGATGAACTGTTGGGACTGGTTTTTTGGCACTGGTTTGTGCTGCCACCTATGACCACTTTTGATGAAGTTCCCTACTAATGCATCTGGGAAAGCAGTGAAGGTGACCCAATTACCTGGGCCCCTACCACCCAGTGGAAGACGTGATTGAAGCTCCTGGCTTTGACCTGGCCCAGCTGCGGCCTTTTAGGAAGTGAAACAGTGGATGGAAGAGCTCTCTCTCCTTCTCCCACTCTATTTGCCACCACTCTGCCCTCATGCTCCCCCTCCCCTGCTGCATCTATCTCTAACTCTGCCTTTCAAATAAATAAATAAATAATTATTCTCTTTATTTATTATTTGAAAGCAGAGTTACAGAAAGAAGCAGAGGCAGAGAGATAGATATTCTACCTGCTGGTTTACTCCCCAAATTGCCTTAATGCCTAGAGCTGAGCCATTCAGGAGCCAGGAGCTTCATCTAGATCTCCCATGTCAGTGCAGGGGCTCAAGCAATTGGCCATCCTTCGCTGCTTTCCCAGGCATGTCAGCTGGGAGTTGGGTTAGAAATGGAGCAGCTAGGTCAATTCACAATAGCTAAGACCTGGAATCAACCTAAATGCCCATCAAGAGTAGACTGGATAAAGAAATTATGGGATATGTACTCTATAGAATACTATACAGCAGTTAAAAAAAATGAAATCTGGTCATTTGTAACAAAATGGAGGAATCTGGAAAACATCACGCTGAGTGAATTAAGCCAGTCACAAAGGGACAAATATCATATGTTCTCCCCGATCGGTGACAACTAACCAAGCACCAAAAAGGAAACCTGTTGAAGTGAAAAAGACACTATGAGAAACAATGACTTGATCAGCCCTTGTCCTGACTGTCAAGGAACAACAATACTTTATCCCTTTTAGTATTTTTTTGTTCTACTTAATACTATTGGTTGAACTCCTTAATTAACACACAGTTATTCTTAGGTGCTTAAATTTAACTGAAAATTAAATAAAAGAGTGGGAATAAGAGAGGAAGGAGACGTACAGTTCAGCACATGCTCAATAGAACTTGCCCCCAACAGTAGAGTTAGAAACGTGCCAGGGGATTCCAATTCAATCCCATCAAGGTGGCATGTACCAATGCCATCTCACTAGTCAAAGTGATCAGTTCAGTTCATAATTGATCCTAATGATAGGATTAAGAGTCAAAGGGATCACATAAACAAGATTAGTGTCTGCTAAAACTGATAGGATTAAAAAGGAGAGAAGATCCAACATGGGAAGCAGGATACACAGCAGACTCATAGAATGGCAGATGTTCTAAACAGCACTCTGGCCTCAGAATCAGCCCTTAAGGCATTTGGATCCAGCTGAAAAGCCCATGAGAGTATTTTAAACATGGAAAGCCAAGACACTGTGGCCAAAAAAAAGAAAAGAAAAAAAAAACCTAAATGAAAGATCTCTGTGAGTGAGATCCCAGCGGAAAGAACAGGCCATCAAGGAAGGAGGTACCTTTCTCTGAAGGGAGGAGAGAACTTCCACTTTGACTATGGCCTTGCCTAAACAAGATCGGAGCTGGCAAACTCAAGAGGCTTCCATAGCCTTGGCAACTCATGACAAGAGCCTCGGGTGATTACTGACGCCATAAACAAGAGTGTCAAATTGTTAAATCAACAACAGGAGTCACTGTGCATTTATTCCCCATGTAGGATCTCTGTCCTTAATGTGTTGTACTATGCGAATTAATGGTGTAACTAGTACTCAAACAGTACTTTATACTTTTTGTTTCGGTGTGGGTGCAAACTGTTGAAATCTTTACTTAGTATATACTAAATTGATCTTCTGTATATAAAGATAATTGAAAATGAATCTTGACATGAATGGGATGGGAGAGGGAGCGAGAGATGGGAAGGTTGCAGGTGGGAGGGAGGTTATGGGGGGAAAAAGCCACTGTAATCCAAAAGCTGTACTTTGGAAATTTATATTTATTAAATAAAAGTTAACAAAAAAATTGACTATAAAAAAAATGGAGCAGCTAGGACTCGAACCTGCACCCATATGGGATGCTAACCCTGCAGGCTGGGGCTTTTACCCACTACACCACAGTGCTGGCCCATCTTTATTCTTTAAAAAAAAAAAAAAAGAGGGGGTGGGGTGGGATGGTGAACTTCCAATTTGTTATAAATTCATACACACTGAAAAGTCACCAAAAAATATAGCAAAACGAGCTTATGTTTATTATTTTTTGTTAAAAGCCAGCAACTTAATACCAACATCTAGAGGAAGTATTAAAACAGTGTGATTTGTGAGAGGGAACTTCACCAGCCAAGAAGTCTTCCTAGTATCTTAGTTACTTATTTTTGTTACCTTGTTGGTATTTCATGGCCTAAGAAAAACTTCACTGGAAACAGGGAAAGAGCAGGATAAAACATAATTCTTTTTTTTTTTTTTTTTTTGACAGGCAGAGTGGACAGTGAGATAGACAGAGAAAGGTCTTCCTTTGCCATTGGTTCACCCTCCAACGGCCACCGCGGCCGGCATGCTGCGGCCAGCGCATTGCGCTGATCTGAAGCCAGGAGCCAGGTGCTTCTCCTGGTGTCCCATGCGGGTGCAGGGTCCAAGCACCTGAGCCATCCTCCACTGCACTCCCGGGCCACAGCAGAGAGCTGGCCTGGAAGAGGGGCAACCGGGACAGAATCCAGCGCCCAGTCTGGGACTAGAACCCGGTGTGCCGGCGCCACAAGGCGGAGGATTAGCTTAGTGAGCCGCAGCGCCGGCCTAAAACATAATCATTGACAGTTGTCACAGAAGTTTTGTTTATTGATTTATTTATTTATTTGAGAGGTAGAGTTACAGACAGTGAGAGGGAGAGACAGAAAGGTCTTTCTTCCGCTGGTTCACTCCCCAAATGGCCGCAATGGCCATGGCTGCACCGATTTGAAGCCAGGAGCCAGGTGCTTCTTCCCATTCTCTCATGTGGGTGCAGTGGCCCAAGGACCTGGGCCATCTTCTACTGCTTTCCCAGGCCATAGGAGAGAGCTGGATTGGAAGAGGAGCAGCCGGGACTCGAACCAGTGCCCATATGGGATGCCAGCACCACAGGCAGAAGATTAACCTACTGCACCACAGCGCCGCCCAGTGAATAAAATACTTTTAATGTATTTCTTTAAAATTAGGTTTAATCCATATCACTGATTGATATGGATTATACCGATTGTATAAATCCACAGATGAGAGGACTGCACTGACAGTGTGTTCCTTAGTTCTGTGGGGTTATTCTTGTAATTTCATTTAAAAAGTGTGCTTAGCAAAATTAACTTGGAGGAGATCAACTTTCCAGCCTTTTTCCTGTTTTATGTGTGACCAGATTCACCAGACTGTAGTGTTTGTTTCTCCTTCAAATGAGACATTTGCTAATTTATCCAATAAACATTAGATGAACATGGAGCAGGCTATATCTCAGTTCAGTGTGGCTTTCTGACCTTGAGTAAGGAATGTGTGTACCACTGAAAATTTATAGACTTAAACAATTCATTGTTTTGATTCGCTGTCTGGTTTGGCATAGATTAACTTTTTTTTCTCCACATTCTTTTTAAGGAAAAGCTTCCTGCCTACCTTGCCACCTCACCAATTCCTACTGAAGATCAGTTCTTTAAAGATATTGACACCTGTTTGGTGAAATCAGTTGGAAATGAAAGATCATCTCAGAGTTCAGACATCTCACACATCCTGGAAACAGAGACGATTTTTACTCCAACTTCTGTGAAAAAGAAAAAACGAAGGAGAAAGAAATGCAAACAAGACAGCAAAAAGGAAGAGCAGGCTGTTTCTCCTGCTGCAGAAGACACATGTGATGTGGCCGTGAGCTCTGATGAAGAGAAGGGAGCCCAGGCAGCAAGGTAGGGCTCAGCCTGGGACGGTCTCGTGCAGGTATCGAGCAACCACTCATGCTTTAGACAGAGCTCAGGTAGAGCCAGAGCTGCTGGTTCGCAGCTATATGTAGTGTAAGGTTGAAACTTGTTCTTCCCCCTATGGGTAATTGAGGAATCAAGTGTGAAAGACAATTCTTTTTTTCATTCCTCTTACTCCTTAAAATTTGTGGTACTTACATGTCATTTGTAGCAGACTTGTGATGTGTTCCTTTCCATCTAGTACATTTCCAAAAGCAGAATAAATCATAAGTTAAAAAAAAAATCTGAATTAGTGACTTGTCCCCAGGAGAGCAGATTTAAGTAGACACAGCATCGATTGTGGGATTTTCTGTGTGATTATCTCACCTATACTTTTGGTTCTTTCTTCCCTTAATAGCTTTTTAAAAATTTTAACTGATACATAAAATTTGTATATATTCATAGAGGTACCATGTGATGTTTTGATATGTGTATACATTGTGTAATGTCTAATCAAGGTAAACATGCCTATCTCCTCAAACATTTATCATTTCTTTGGTGTAAAACCTTTAAAAAAATCCCTTTCTTCTAGTTTTATTTTTTCAGAGAAATTTGTAGTACATTATCATTAATCTACAGTCACCCTACTGTGCAGTAGAACACTAGAACATCTTACTCCTAACTATAACTTAGTACCTCTTAATCACCCATCCTCTCTTTTTCTCTCCTCAGCCTATGGTAACCACCATTCTACTTTCAGCTTCTATGAGATCTATTTATTTATTTTAATTTACTTGAAAGGCAGAGATTTTTTTTTTAAAGGTTTATTTAATTGAAAGGCAGAACGACAGAGAGGAAGAAGAGGTCTTGTGTCTCCTGGCTCATTCCCCAAATGCTTGCAACAGCCAGGGCTGAGCCAGGCCAAAGGCACTAGCTTAGAAGTCCATCCAGTGGCCCAGGCATTTGAGTCGTCATCTGCTGCCTGCCAGCATGCATTAGCAGGAAGCTGGACCAAAAAGGGAGTAGCTGGCACTCAGACTAGCACTGTGATACAGGATGCAGGTATCCCAAGCTATGGTTTATGGCCACAACACACACACTGAGATTAACTTTTTTAAATGCCACACATTAGTGAGATCATATAGTACTTGTGTTTCTGTTCTTGGCTTATTTCTTTCACATAGTGACCTCTAGTTGCATCATGGTGTTGCAAATGGAAAATTTCCCATCCTTTTTTATGGCTGAATAATATTCCATCATATCTCTGTATGTTTTGTTTATCCATTCATCAGTCAGACATGTAGATTGTTTCCACTTCTTGTAATGGATGGTGAGTGATCTCATTTCCCTTCAGTATATACTCAGTAGTGGGATTACATGTAATTGTGCTTTCTAGCTTTCTTAAGGAGCCTTCATACCCTTTTCCACAAGGGCTAAGTTACATTCCCACCAACGACGTGCAAGGGTTCCCTTTTCTCCGCATCCTCACCAGCATTTGTTTTGCTTTGTCTTTTTGTTAGTAGCCACACTGGAGTGAGTTGATGTCTCCTTGTGTTTTTGACTTGCATTTCCTTGATGATTAGTGATAGCATTTTTCAAGTTCCAGGTGTCCATTTTTGTGTCTTCCTTTGGAAAATGCCTGTTTACTGCCATTTTTTTTAACTTTTATTTAATGAATATAAATTTCCAAAATACAGCTTATGGATTACAATGGCTTCCCCCCCATATCGTCCCTCCCACCCGCAACCCTCCCCTTTCCCACTCCCTCTCCCCTTCCATTCACATCAAGATTCATTTTCGATTCTCTTTATATACAGAAGATCAGTTTAGCATACATTAAGTAAAGATTTCAGTACTGACGCCATAAACAAGAGTGTCAATTTGTTAAGTCAACAACAGGAGTCACTGTGCACTTACTCTTCATGTAGGATCTCTGTCCTTAGTGTGCTGTACATTGAGATTTAATGCTATAACTAGTACTCAAACAGTATTTTTCACTTTATGTTTCCGTGTGGGAGCAAACTGTTGAAATCTTTACTGCCATTTTTTAATCGGATTTTTTAAACTGTTGGGTTCTTTGCATTCCTGCGCATCCCGGTTATTATCAAATATATAGTTTGCAGATATTTTCTCCCATTATAAATTGTTTCTTCCCTCTGTTAATTGTTTCCTTTGCTGGACAAAAGCTCTTTAGTTTGATGAGATCCTGTATGTGTATTTTTGGTTGTGTTTCCTGTGGTTTTGTTCCTTTGTTTGTGATCTGACTCCAGATAATCCTTGCTCATTCCAGTCTCTTAAAATGTCTCCGTTATATGTTTTTCTGGTACTTTTCAAAGTTTCAGGTCTTAAATTTAGATTTTTTTTCAAGGATATATTTATTGGGACCAGTGTGTGGCATAGTGAGTTAAGCCACTGCGTGTATTTCTAGCATCTCCTATGGGCGCTGATTTGATTCCCAGACGCTCCACTTCTGATCCAGCTCCCTGCTGATGCACCTGGGAGAGCAGTGAGAGGATCCTCTCTCTCTAACTATTCCTTTCAAATAAATAAATAAATCTTTAACAGATTATGATAATGTGAGGGACAATACATAGGATCATCAGTATATTAACATGTTAAAGAATCTGAGAGAAAGTCAGTTGCTTTTGTAGTTGTAAAATCTAGGAATTATGTGGAGAATTTGAAGGTTTCAAATATCTTATTTTCCTGGACCCTTATGAGGGAAATTGTTTTGAAAGAAGATACATAAAGTAGATTTCATTTGAGTTTGATAAATGTCATTCTATTTAAACTCTACTTTTCAAAAATTTCTTTGATAATAGAATTAAAGTTAACTGAGGCCCCTTGAAGAAGGCAGTTGAAAGAGAAAATCATTCTTTAAAGCAGGTTACTGTTGCACAGCTAGAGAAATTCATATGGAAATGAGAGCACCTAAACTCCCTGAGGCTTATTTAAACTGTTCCTGGTGAGTGTCCTTTCCTCTCCTGAAGTGAACTTTTGGTTTGTGTGTAGCATGGAGTCCCTGTTTCCTTCCAAAGGGTGGGTGGGTGTACTTATGTTAAAAACATTGCGCCTAGGTATAAGTAGCCTGTGGGAGGGAAGGGACTTTATAACTTGGATGGTATTCTAGCACAGACTCTAGCAGAAGTATAAAAAACTTACCGCTGATGGAAATATTTCAGATACCCAGTGATAGCAGAAATGGACCCTAAAGACTGGAGCATCAGGGGCAGCCTGTGGCATAGTAGGTTAAGCTTCCGCCTGGGGCACCAGCTTCCCATATGGGTGCTGGTTCAAGTCCCAGCTGCTCTACTTCTGATCCAGCTCCCTTCCAGTTGCATCTGGGAAAGCAGATGAAAGCGGCCCAACTGCTTGGGTCCTTCTACCCACATGAGAGATCCAGAAGCAGCTTGGCTGCAGATTGCCTCAGCTCCAGCCATTGCAGCCATTTAGGGAGTGAACCAGCAGAAAGCAGACAGACAATCTCTCTCTCTCTCTCTCTCTCTCTCTGTCTCTCCCTCTCTGTCTCTAACTCAGCCTCTCAAATAAATAAATCTTAAAATACATATATATATATGTATATGTATATATAAAAAATATAAACAGACCATCAGAGAGGAATCTCAACTTTTAATCCACAAAAGCCAATTTGCTTAAAAAGTTGTATGGGGGAGCTAAATCCAGGGAACCTAAGACTTTTCATGATTAATGTTTTAACCCTGAGGCTGCATGCTTGTCTTTCATCTCCTCATCGGTAACTGGCTTCTAGAGAAACCTCCAGTTCTTCTGTGGTAGGTGTAGGTATTCAAGGTGACCTGGATCTTACGGATGCTCCCTGCCTTTCCCTGTCTTTAAGTATGTTTTTCGGGGCCAGCACCGTGGTGCACTAGGTTAATCCTCCGCCTGTGGTGCCAGCATCCCATATGGGCACCAGGTTCTAGTCCCGGTTGCTCCTCTTCCAGTCCAGCTCTCTGCTGTGGTCCTGGAGGGCAGTGAAGGATGGCCCAAGTGCTTGGGCCCTGCACCCACAAGGGAGACCAGGAGGAAGCATCTGGCTCCTGGCTTTGGATCAGTGTAGCTCCGGCCGTTGCAGCCATCTGGGAAGTGAACCAACGGAAGGAAGACCTTTCTCTCTGTCTCTCTCACTGTCTGTAACTCTACCTGTCAAATAAATAAATAAGTAAATTTTAAAAAGTATGTTTTTCTCCTCTTGAATGAAGTTGTATGTCAGACTAATCCTCTGGAAGAAAGGAAATTAGAGTTAGAAAAACCTTAAATTGAAAGATGCATATGTGGGAAAACTGCCACTTGGCAGAGTTAATGGCAAAAGAGTATGTTAAATTAAGATACAGAGGAAGAAAAGTAGTATTAAAAATTAATAAACTGATTTCTATTTTTTAGTCAAACATTGTAACAGATACTCTCATTTTACATTGAGTATCTGTGCTATTAGAGCATTGAATTTTCTGTAGGAAGTTCTTAATGTGTATAATATGGTGCTTTTTGCTTTTCAGAGTTTTCCTTTGTCCTTTATCCTTTTTGGAGATTTCAGCATCTCACATCAACTCTGAAGTAGACAGGACAAATGATAAATTTCCAACTAAACATGAACACTGGGGCTGACAGTGCTTCTGAGAGATGTTTTCAAGGTTATATTGCAAGTTAGTTATATTAGCCCTGCAAATTAAAGAAAATCCAAGGGTAAATTAATTAAAACTTTATTGGCATTAGTTCAGCCTTCTAGAGTTCCAAGGTTTATGTATGAATTTTAAAAACATTTATTGGGTTGGCACTGTGGTGTGGCAGGTAAAGCTACCACCTGTGGTGCCAGTATCCCATCTGGGCACTGGTTCGAGTCTCAGCTGCTCCATGCTCCCTGCTAGTGCTCCTGGGAGAGCAGCAGCAGATGTCCCACATACTTGGGCCCTTGTACCTACGTGAGGGACCCAGATGAAGCTAGAGGCTCCTGGCTCCTGGCTTTGGATTGGCCCAGCTCTGGCCATTGGAGCCATTAGGGGAATGAACCAGCAGATGGAAGATTTCTCTCTCTCCCTCTGCTTCCCCCCCACTCTGCCTTTCAAGTAAATAAATCTTTTTTTTTTTTGACAGGCAGAGTGGACAGTGAGAGAGACAGACAGAGAGAAAGGTCTTCCTTTGCCGTTGGTTCACCCTCCAATGGCTGCCGCGGCTGTGGTGTGGCAGGTAAAGCTACTAGTCCCGGTCGGGGGCCCAGGATTCTGTCCCAGTTGCCCCTCTTCCAGGCCAGCTCTCTGCTGTGGCCAGGGAGTGCAGTGGAGGATGGCCCAAGTGCTTGGGCCCTGCACCCCATGGGAGACCAGGAGAAGCACCTGGCTCCTGGCTTTGGATCAGCGCAGTGCGCCGGCCGCAGTGGCCATTGGAGGGTGAACGAATGGCAAAAGGAAGACCTTTCTCTCTCTCTCTCTCTCTCACTGTCCACTCTGCCTGTCAAAAAATAAATACAAATTTTAAAAAAAAGCATTTATCATGTTTTTGTGTCATATTGCTCACATCTCCACATGATGTAGATTCTGTCCAAGTAAACAAAGTTCTGAGATAATCCCAAGGCCAAACAAAGAAAATTGTTGCTGAGTTTTAAATTTCTGAGCCATAGCTCTTTAATGTTCTTATATTTTCTGTAATATACAGAGGAGTAGACTTAGAACCAGAGTTTATAGTTGTTCTGAGTCCAGCAACTTCCTAGGTTTTTTGACTTTGAGCAAATTACAAAACTTTTTTGAATCAGTGGTTACCTGATATCTAACATAGAATATTACTACTTCAGATTTGTATTCATTTTCTCCTTCTAGCCTTTGAATCATTTACCCTGAAGAGATGTAAGAAGAAATTTTTAATTATATTTCTCTTCTAACCTTCATCTAGTTTATATTTGAATAGTGATTGCTCGAATGTGGTGAACCCCCTTCTATTTGCCTTTGAAAGGGATTAGTTATTCATCATTTGTCTCTGTCTGTATTGTTGAGGTGATTTGTCAGTAGATTTGGAGGATATTTTAAAGCTGACATCAGTGTCGTCCTTTCCTTTGTTTTTTCTTTCCACAGAGGATCTTCGACTGCTTCCTTAAAGGAAGAAGAGTATAAGGAACCTTTGCTTTTCCATTCTGGAGACCACTACCCCTTATCTGATGGAGATTGGTCCCCTTTAGAGAAGTAAGTATCTTTGAAATTTCTTGGTTTCTTAAAAGAGGAAGGAGAATGTATTAAATAGCTTTTCTGTAACTTACAGTAATGATACTTCCCATTTCTCCAGTACAGTAGAGGAACTGAAATTTATTTTAACTATTTATTTATTTATGTGAAAGATGGACTGGCAGAGAAGAGAGGTCTCCCATCTGCTAGTTCATTCCCCAAATACCAACCAGGAGCTGGGTATTTGGGCCAGATCAAAGCCAGGGACTCAGAACTCAGTCTGGGTCCCCCACCTGGCAGGGACCCAAGTCTTTGGTCTCTCCTCTGCTGCCTTCCCTTGTGCATTAACAGAAAACTGGATTGGAAGCAGAATAGCTGGGACTCAGACCAGCCCTCTGCCCATGAATATTTCCTTTTCATTAATATGAATCTTTTCTCTCAGTAACTGTTCTTACACGTGATCTGACTTATTCTAACAGTGTTGGCCACTTGTAATTCTGAATCATCAGCACAGAATTTGGCCATCTATAGTTCTTCTAATTTTTCAGTGTCAGCTGCTGACTGGTAAATGTGACTAATATAGTAAGAAAACATGGAATCATGCTGTTTATTCTTCAATACAGTCCTCATTATTATGTTATTTAACTTGCATTTCTGTGCTTTTCATCTTCTTTAAAATTATCTTTCTCATTGATTTCTTATGAGAAGCCAATGAGATAATGCATATATGGTATTGAGGGAGGACTTAGCAAGTCCTCAATAGAAGCTAGTTAGTGTTGTTTTATTATTATTAAAGAACTCAAGTGGAAGAAATAAATGATGTTTCCCTAAATAGTTTATTTGCAGGATAAAGTTAATATATTCAAATTTGTTTCCTTTCATCTGCCAATCTCAATGAAACTGAAGGTTTCTCAACTTTAAAATCATCACATTTCTTTGTTCTTGTGTGTGCAGCACCTATTCCCAGGCAGTTTGTCCTAAGAGTGATTCAGAGTTGGAGGTGAAACCTGCCGAGAGCCTGCTCAGATCGGAGTCTCATATGGAGTGGACATGGGGCGGGTTCCCAGAGTCCACCAAGGTACTTGGTCTTCTCACAAGTGGAATGTCTCACTGGATTTGAGAATCCAGTGCCTGCATCCATAAGAAAAGGAAGCCATTGCTGACCCAGCTCATATGACTATAAATGACAGTAGTGCCCTCCTGTGGTCAGCAGAATCAATCCAAAGTTAATGGTTTTCATAACATTTGGACCATGTTTTTGGAACAGAAGAGATTCAGCAGATGTGTTTTTCTATTGAGTGAATAACATTATTGGTTGTTAATTAACATAAGGAAAATTTTTAAAGGCACCCAAATAAAGGAAACTAAAATTTCTGCCCTGAAATTTTAAATAGGAAATTTTTAAGACTTTTTATTTCCAGCTCATAATAAAATAAAAAGCTGGGGGAGATAACATATCTTAAAGGAGAAATTAGCTTGATCATATTGAATTTAGTTTTACAAAAATGTACATTTTGCAGTTAGACTTTACTTCCTGTTTAAATTGTTTTAACTCAGCTTTGAGTTAGTTTAAGCAGAGTTAAATTTTCATTTAGTACTCTTAAGTTTTTTTCCCCCAAAATGAATGTTCTCTACCTCTTAATACCTAAAAATTGTCTTATTACTTCAGTCGTCTTCATTGTTTAGCTCTTCATGCAGTTATAACTCTTATAAATATGATATTAAATGCAATTACTAGCTTTTCTCCATTTTAATTTGTACACATGCAAAATAATATATTTAATGAATGTCTTGTTATATATAAAGTAATATACTTAGCAACTAAGAAATAAATCATAAAACACCTTTGAGAGTAGTTTAATTTTTTTTTTTAAATTTAACTTTTTTAGGTCACCAAAAGAGAGAGAGGTGATCATCATCCTAGGACAGCTACCATTACACCATCAGAAAATACCCATTTTCGGGTAATTCCCAGTGAGGACAACCTCATAAGTGAAGTCGAGAAGGATGCTTCCATTGAAGAAACTGTCTGTACCATAGTGAAACCCAAACCCAGAGCCTTGTGTATGCAAATGGGTGATGCAACTTCAGCTGCAGAACTTCTCGAACCTCTTCTTGAGAGTCCTCAGATTTCATCTATGTTAGATGCAGACCACCTTCCCAACCCATCCTTAGGGGAGGCTCCCTCAGAATTGAAACCAGCTGCTAAAGTAGACTCGCCGTCAAAGAAGAAAGGTAATCATGTGTTTAGTTTGAAATCAGGTACTCTGCACTTACGTGGTAAATTATGTTGGTGTTTCAGATACTATGACAGCATTTGTATTCTCCAGTCAGAACCTTGATTATGAGTGCTTATTTACTGCGGCTTCCCCTTTTTGCCGCAGTTTCCTTTGGAGCAGAACTCTGTCTCCTGTTGCTACTCAGTAAGTCCTTGGGAGGCATTTATTGAGAAACTTAGTGACTGCATTCCAGTCATTTAATTAGTAAAACTGACCACTTTATTGACTAGGTAGGTCAAGTAAAGTGAGGAATAGTCTCAAACAAGTAATTGCATGTTTAAATAGAAATTGAATAGAGAAAAAAAAGTCTGCTCCCTGAAATATCTTAGTTGATGCCACATTAAGTATGCGTTTGCAATGATATGGAATAAAAATAAATAATATGCTAATTTTGATAGGTATTCTCATCTTTCATGATTATTTCTCTCTAAAACAGGTAAGAGAGAAGATATGGCCCAACTTGGCTAAACAATTCATCTCACTTTTGGAATACAAATCAGACTATTCTTACTATGTAAAAATATAACGTTGTCTGTTGATGCTTGGTACAATAAAAGCCAGAACATGCACATTCTCTTAACTCAGGCCTTAGAGACTATTTTTTTTGAAGTGAAAACTTACCTAAAATTACTCTTCCTCATATATAGCCAGGCAACTACTTCCCTTTTTCTTAAATTCTAATATGAAAGGTTAGATAATCACAAACTGACTTTAGAAATCTCTACCACAGCTGTGGACCTTCTGAGTCACTCAGATAATTTATCTAAAATAAAAGAATGTGACTGTCACGTATTTGTGATCAGATCTGGCCATCTAGCTGATACTGGTGTGGCACCTGTCCTTTTCCAAATGCACGTTAACTGTTGTACTTTAATAAATGTGAAGAGAGATTTCCAGTTCTTCTAAGGTGAAAGCTTTGTTTCTGACAGGAAATAACAAATCTTTAAAAAAATATATTTGTTTGAGAGGTAGAGTTACAGACAGAGAGAAGGAGAGACAGAGAGAGGGATCTTCCACTTGCTGGTTCACTCCCCAAATGGCCACAACAGCCAGAGCTGAGCTGATCAGAAGCCAGGAGCTTCCTCTGGGTCTCCCACACAGGTGCAGGGGCCCAAGCGCTTGAGCCATCCTCTGCTGCATTCCTAGGCCATTAGCGGAGAGCTGGATTGGAAGAGGAGCAGTCAGAACACAAACCACGGCCCATATGAGATTCTGGTGCCGCAGGTGGATGCTTAGCCTACTGTGCCAACACACTGGCCCCCAAATCCTCTTCCTAGCACACAGGATCAGTGGTTCTTTCGACCTTGTTCTTTTTTCCCCAACTTTTTATTATGAAAATTTTGGCATATTGCCATGCATCACTTAACAGTGCAGGTATGTTCTGAGAAATGTGTCAGTAGTTCATTTTGTCCTTATTCAAACAGAGTGTGCTTACACAAACCTAGATGGTATAGGTCATTCAGTGTGTGGTCTCTTGTTGCAGTCAGTATACATGACGTATATGAGACTGCTGTTGGAGTTACATGGCACAAACTTTATTGACAGTAAATTTTTTTATATAGTTAGGAATACATCATAAAATAAGGATAAAATATATGGTATAATAAGCCAGCAAAATAGTTAATATGTACTATACATAATTGTGTGTGCTATATGCAGTTTTTTTTTTTTAATGAGGAAAGTATAGTTTTTTTTTAAAGATTTATTTATTTATTTGAAAGTCAGAGTTACACAGAGAGAGGAGAGGCAGAGAGAGAGAGGTCTTCCATCCGCTGGTTCACTCCCCAGTTGGCTGCAACAGCCGGAGCTGCGCCAATCCAAAGCCAGGAGCCAGGAGCTTCTTCCAGGTCTCCCACGCAGGTGCGGGGGCCCAAGGACTTGGGCCATCCTCCACTGCCTTCCCAAGCCATAGCAGAGAGCTGGACTTGAAGTGGAGCAACTGAGACTAGAACCAGTGCCCATATGAGATGCCGGCACTTCAGGGCAGGGCATTAACCCACTGCGCCACAGTGCTGGCCCCAGTATATGTGCAGTTATTTTTAACTGGTACATAAAAATCCTACTTTCTTCAAATAGAAGTTACTCTAATAACACTATGCAGTAGAAATGTAATATGAGCCACATATGTAATTTTGAGGTCTTCTCATAGCCAACTTCAAAGTGAAATAAGCAAATGAACTTGTTTAATGATCTGTATGAACCAATAAATCCAAAATATCTAATTTAGCAACTAATTTAAAAAATGCTAATGAGGTACTTTGTATTTTTGTTTTAGAATAAATGGTATAGTTTGCATGTAAGAAAAAAAATAGAATTAGTATACTGCCATTTATACCAGAAACAGTTTAAGGACTCAGTAGCCACATATGATACTGGTGGTCACTAGAGGGAGTAGTGCAGATCTAGTGGCTTAATTACATTTGGTGTAAGTATTTTATTGTTTGAATTCAAGATTACTTTCTAAATATCGTTTATTATTTGTTAGAAAGTCAGTGAGAGAGCGCACTCCTATCTGCTTATTCATCCCCTAAATGCCTACAACAGCTGGGGTACCAAAGCCAGGAGCCAGAAACTATCTCCCACTTGGGTGACAGAAACCCAATTTTTTGAGCTGTCACCACTACCTCTCATTGGTCTAATTAACAGGAAACTGAAGTTAGGAGCCAGAGAGAAGTTGAAAAGGCCAAGTGCCTGCAATCCCATAAAGTAATCCTGAAGGTGACTTTATGGGATGTATTGGAGTACTTCGTATTGTATCTCATGATGATCGTGACTAGTGATCATTTGTGTTGTCTGCAGATGCAGCCATTGTAAAGGATCTGTGTCTTCCCGCAGTTAGAAGGTGATATATAGGTTGATACTGGGGCACCACGTGAATATCCTTTTTCCCAATGATACTCTTCCCTTCATAGGTGATTGTCTCAAGCTTGGTCATGTTTGTTCTTATCTATAAATATTTTTAGAACTTCACCATTAAATATACATTGTCTAGGAGCTAGGGTTATTTTTGTGATAGCAAATGGAAGACAGAATGAGTAAATCACATGTGTTTATTGAGCACTGAATTTCTCTGCCATTGGCTGGGGTCATTGAGAACTAACATAAATAAAAAGGCTAATTGATACTTTCAAAAGTAAAATCATGGTCAGTCTTATGTTTGCAAGGCTTTGTTTTCTTGCAGAGTTGTAAATGAAAAATAAATTATCTGATATGATTTTCTTATGAAAACAGGTGTCCACAAGAGAAGCCAGCACCAAGGACCTGATGATATTTACCTTGATGACTTAAAAGTCCTGGAACCTGAAGTTGCAGCTCTATATTTCCCTAAAAGGTAGTGTGTTCTTTGTGTATTGAAGGGTGGACAGCTCTGAAGTGTTCTAATTATTTCATCTGAGGAAAAGGAACAAGGTAAATTGTCCTTAAGCTGAATCTGATGATTGCTTCAGGTTTTGGAAAATTCAGAAATAGTGCATGTGTTGTTTGACTGTAATGACTTGAGATTATTACCTACTTACAAAAACAGTATTGATAAATTGAGAAGACAGATATTAGTTAAACTTACATAAGAATATCTAGCTTTGGTTAGTCATTTCTGTAGTCATTAATGCAAACTCAATATGCTTGGGGAAATTTGTTAGCATTTGTTTCCTTTATTCTGTGGGTTTTTTGTTTTTTTGTTTGTTTGTTTGTTTGTTTGTTGACAGGCAAAGTTAGAGAGAGACAGAGAGAAAGGTCTTCCTTTGCCGTTGGTTCGCCCCCCAAATGGCTGGCTCACTGCACCGATCCAAAGCCAGGAGCCAGGTGCTTCTTCCTGGTCTCCCATACGGGTGCAGGGCCCAAGCACTTGGGCCATCCTCCACTGCCTTCCTGGGCCACAGCAGAGAGCTGGACTGGAAGAGGAGCAACCGGGACTAGAACCCGCGGTTGCGGCAGCAGCCTATTCTGTGTTTTAAAAGTAATGCACCTGTATTTGAAAATGCTTTACAAAAAACATCTTCTCCCTTTGGAGTCTGGGATCCTAGACATTTCCTGAATTCAGCCTGGATCTGGTGAGGCCCCATCCTAGCAGGCTGTGTTCCCCACATTGATGATAGCTCTCACCATTGTCACCCAGTCTTCCTCCTTGTCGCTCCCCCTCTTCGTGGAGGAACGACACAGGACCCTGCGCTGTTCTTTCGTCTGCTCGGCCCTCCCCGGGTTTGCTGCTGGTTCTTCCCGGGTTGGCTACTATCCCTTCCACCTCCGTGGAAGGGCAGTTCCCCCTAGCCACATTCCCCACTTCCGCAGGGGAGCGGCACACCGCCGGCCGGCTTTCTCGGGGGCTGCACGGGTTCCCTTAGATGTTCCCCATAGATGTTCCTGGTGCATGCCGTCTCTCTCCTCCTTTATAGTCCTCCTCCGCCAATCCTAACTCGGCTGCCCACACGCCGAGTACGCTGCTCTCCTCCAATCAGGAGCAAGTCCTACAGTTTATTAGTTGAACTGGAGGCAGCTGTGCGGAAGCTGTTTACTTCTCTCCCAGCGCCATATTGTGGGAGAGCAGATGCATAGAATAAGTCTTAATTCCAGTAACTCAGTCTAGTCCGGTTGCTCCCCACACTCCTGTCTCTCATGGTTTTTCTCTGTGAATAACACAAATGTGAACCTCAAATGTAGTAAACTTGAACTGTCTTTTCATGTTCATTTCCAGTCATAGGAAAATTCTATGTGATTACAAAAAAGTCAACTTTTCTTCATGGAAAAATGACTTGAATATGTTGAGCCACAGACACGTAACCAAACACCTTTAAATGAGTTACTGGAAAGCTCTCTGCTGTGGCCCGGGAGTGCAGTGGAGGATGGCCCAAGTCCTTGGGCCCTGCACCCGCACCCAGCGGCCATTGGGGGGTGAACCAACGGAAAAAGGAAGACCTTTCTCTCTCTCTCACTGTCCACTCTGCCTGTTAAAAAAAAAAAATGAGTTACTGGAAAACAGATTTCGTTTTATTTATTTTTAAAGATTTATTTTACTTATCTGAAAGAGTTACAGAGAGAGGTAGAGACAGAGAGAGATCGATCTTCCATCTGCTGGTTCACTCCACAGATGGCCACAATGGCTGGAGCTGTGTGGATCTGAAGCCAGGAGCCAGGAGCTTCTTCTGGGTCTCCCATGTGGGTGCATGGGCCCAAGGACTTGGGCCATCTTTTACTGCTTTCCCAGGCTACAGCAGAGAGCTGGATTGGAAGAGGAGCAGCCAGGACTAGAACCGGTGCCCATATGGGGTGCTGGTGCTTCAGGCCAGGGCATTAACCCACTGCGCCAGAGCACCAGCCCCTGGAAAACACATTTCATATTTCATTGTAATAGAAAGAGGGGATTGATATAAAGATAAACTTAACTTTTTGCAGAATTTTTTTGGTGATTTGTAAAATTTCATCCTAGTTCCATGCCCTAAATTTGCGTCTAAATATCTATGTACTTTGTAGTAACAGGTTTTTTTTTTAATGGTAAATAAAACAAACTTTTTTCACACTAGGAAAATAAAAATATAAGCTATCTTGAGAATTATCATCTTTCTATTTCCCTGTCCTTAATCATTTATTTACATTGGTATTCCTTTAGATTTCTTCTTTTCCCTTTTAAAAAATGGACAATATGACTAATGCAGTGAGATCTTATTTTATTATAGTGTATCTCTTTAGGCATTTACTACCTTAAGTGTCTTCCTTCTTGAACTAATTATTTCTTGAGACATTTCATAAATCCTTAGAGCATCTTTTACCTATAGGTTTTTGTTTTGCCATGATCGTTATCTTTAATATTAAACATCCAATATTTGTCATCGTAGCTCAACTTGAGTGTAAGTCCCATCACTCTTGGGAATCTAGCAGCATGTGGAGTCAGAAGACATCCTCCATGTGTTTGAGTGTTGCTACTGGTTGGAGAGCATCCGAATGGCATCACAGTAGATGTTTGTTTTTTTGCCCATGTGATAATATTCTGGTCCTGTGTTTTGTAGGAGAGATTACACACAGGGATTCAGGAACACAGGCTCCTTCCATCTTAATACTCCACCATTCTTTTAGGGTCTCAGAATCCAGTATTTATAGGCAGCAACATTTGTATTTATAAATCCAATATTTATAGGAGAAAGGGTCATTCGAGGGAGGGCAAACTGGAAAAGGTTACTGCACAGCCTTTTGCCCACATTGACAACTTGATCGTACAGTCATACAGCCACACTAACTGTGAGAGTCTTTACTGTGTGTTCCTGTGAAAGAGGACATGGTGTTTATGAACCCAGAGCAACTTTTGTATGTGTTTTAGCCAGGATTAACCTTGCCCCTTCATGCCAGCAGCCTAACAACAGGCTGTTAACCATTTACCAACAGGTTTTGGCTTTTTACCATTTCCAGCAAAGAACGTTCTGCTGATCCAGTCAAATTCCGCTTTGTGGTACAAGTGTGCTATTAAGGAAGAAAATTTCGAAAACTCTTAAGTCTTTCATTGCTTCACATGCACAGCATAACAGCTTTTGAAACTGCTGATTACAATGCATCTGTACTCCGCTGCTGCCCTCTATTGCCCGATTTTGAGACTTTTTCTAGTGATACATCACTGGATCTCATATATTTTTAAAATCAATTAAAAATGCTATGTTTTTGAATACAATAAATGAATTGTAAATTATAAGATGGTATCTCAAATGTCACATTAGATACTTAAAGGGGGTGGAGTAATGAACATCTTGGTTTAGAAATGTAAAGTGCCATTTCCTTGTTCTTTTTCTGTTAAATTTATGGTCCATAAAAAAAAGGTTTCCCTTATGACCTAAAAACCTAGCTTCTGTAACGTATCTAGCAAAATGAAAATACTAGGTGATTATCTTTAGTTCTGGTCCTCATTGCTTGAAGAACAGTTTACTTCCAGTTTGTCTCAGTATATGTGTTTCTCTTGAGAATTTTCTCTTAATTTCTGCTTTGTTTTTGTTTTTGTTTTTGTTTTTTGTAAGATAATAGATGAATTTAGAGAAGCTTTGTTTTTAAGACTACATCCTTGGATTATAGTAATTTTCTACAGGAAATACTTAGAACCACAGCTTTTTATAGGAAGTTAGGATCAAAAGTCTTCGAAACATCAGATTTTTCTTAATTACCCTGTCATTTTCATTGTGGAAATTTAAATAAATGCTTATAACTCTAATTAAGACAAGAAAGGTCATAGCTGAAATGTTTGCCTTATTGCAAATGACTGTAGTGATTTTGTTCATATTTATGATATCCATAGTTAATTCCTTAATAGTGCTATTTAGCTTTTCCCTAATATCATCTATGAGACAATTCTAAACACTCCCTATAGAAGCTGCAATCTGATTAGAGATCTGTTTATGTATTTTATAGGGTTATTTGGTTTGAGCCCCAACGAATTATGGAGTAAACTAGGAGTACAAGAGGTTGTATTAAAGCAAAATACTTTCCCTGTTTTCTTTCCACTTCCACAGTGACTTGGACCCTGGCTCCAGGCAGTGGCCTGAGTCGGACACGCTCTCTGGCTCCCAGTCCCCACAGTCTGTGGGAAGTGCTGCCGCAGATAGCGGTACTGAGTGCCTCTCGGATTCTGCTATGGACTTGCCTGATGTCACTCTCTCTCTTTGTGGGGGCCTCAGTGAGAACGGAGAAATTTCCAAAGGTATGCCAGGGAATAGTGCTCTTTCACCACCCCAGGATACGACCTGGTCATCACTTTGCAAACTTGTATTTAGTCAGCTCAAAATGTTTGAATGCTCTAGAGATCTTGTGCAGGTAGTAATGTTTGGCCCTTTTCCCCTTATTTAAAGTACCTTGAAGATTTTACTTTCAAATTAAGAGGTTGAGATTTCTCAAGCTGCCTGATGCTTACCAGCTGGGGTCAGATCATACTGTGTTGGTTTTCTTAATTGTAAAGTTGTTGGAATGTTTATGGAACTGGGCCCAGCTGTCCTCTTGGAAAGCACTGGGCCTTAGACATGAGGGTAGGGCCCTGAAGTTATAGGAAATTGGTTGTCCACTGAGTAACTGTTCTTTCTGGCAAAAGATGGGGTAACTTTTCTGTCTCAGGCTTGAGAGTTGGCCCACAAGGAAAGATCTTCGCAGAGACACTTAGGACACTCCTTTGTGGTTGGTCCCTGTGGATGCAACCATCCGAAATTCTTCAGCCTTTTGGTTTTACTTTGCTTTCAAACTAAACTCTTGTTTATATTTTCCCAATTTAGCTGGTAGCCCTTGATTGATTTTCCTCCAAGTAAAGGTTTTCTTTCCATGAGTACCATCACCTTTTGTTTGCTCTCCCCATCAGAGGACCTGAAGTTGTGATGTGGTAGAGCAGGTGCCTGAGCCCTAGAACTGTGTTCTGCTGAAGTTTTTCTCTTTGGGCTCACAGGACACTTGTTAACTAGGCCTCTTTCTTCATCTCTTCAATCTGTTTGTTTGCTTTATATTTTGCAAGAAATTAAGAGTGTGTTATGACTAAGTCCTCCTAAGAACAAAATTAAATAGACCATGTTCTTTTTATAATCTTTGTAAATCCTCAGTAGGCTATATATTTTTGTATGTTACAAATACATATTTTTAATATATAAGAAGAAAAAATTTATACAAATTTATACTTCTGTTTTAAATATTGATAACTTAGGTACTATTTGTTATTGGAGGAAGCAGAAACAGAAGTGAAGGTAAATGTGCGTGTCCTCTGAAAGAATTATGCACGGGAGATATTTCTGTTAGCCCAGATCTCTTGGAATGCAGGTTTAGAGACAAGGCACAGAAATTCATGCAAAACCTCTGTCTCAGGAAGAACTTGAGGTTTATTTCTTGACAGACCCTGAGCCAAATTCTGGGTTTATTTTTTTCTCTGAGCAATTGTAAATAAGTTGTTACTGTTTTTACCAATATACCGTGCGCCTAAAACTCAGCCCCATGAGTATTCCTCATTACACAATTCTCTGTCTATAAAGAGTTTCTCTGTCTGTGAAGGGAATAGAATTTATAGCTTTATTAGTTGCGTGTGTGTGTGTGTGTGTGTGTGTGTGTGTCTCTTCTGTCCACATCTGTGTGTGTAGCTGGCTGACTGGCCGTATCTGTAATCTGTTTTCTTAAAAGTCTGTAGTGTGCCCTTTTTGCCTGTTTGTATCTTTGAATTAGGGAAAGAATGAGTAGAATAGGGTTAGAATAGAAAGGAAGTGCTCTTTCTTATTTGGGAAAAAAAGAAAAAAAATCTTGACATTTTGCTTTTGATAGAATAATGAAAGTGTCTTTTTAAAGAAAGAACTTATTTTAGTCTACTATTCCTGTAGTGCAGAGTATTGTAATAATCTAATATAGGAATTTATGTAATCTCTAACCAAATTAATCGCTTACACTTTACATTGCAGAAAAATTCATGGAACATATCATTACTTACCATGAATTTGCAGAAAACCCTGGACTTATAGACAATCCTAACCTTGTAATAAGGATCTATAACCGGTAAATACTCTTGGTTTCTTCATTATTAAACACTCTTGTAGTGTTTTACAAGTGCTGTTTTTAAGAGTTTATCTTGATTTAAAACTTGCCATATAAGCAAGCCAATTAACTAGTGACTTTGAAGTGAAAGTGAAGTCTCAGCTTCAGTTCTGAATGAGGTGTTGAAGTGTCACTCAGTTTTATAGATTTTAAGGCTTCCCTATTCAGAGACGTTTGGCCTGAATAAAAATTACTCATATGACAAAAATGTAGCTGGTCATCTTTTTTATTGAAAATGATATGAAATTGCGTATTTTGTTTCTTTCTCTTCTCTTCCTCCCTCCCTACCTGCCCCCTTCTCCTCTCTTACTCTTTCCTTCTGTAATGGTTTTGCACAATTTTTGTTTCCCACAGTTATTATAATTGGGCTTTGGCTGCTCCGATGATTCTTAGCTTGCAAGTATTCCAGAAGAGTCTGCCTAAGGCAAGTGATCCACATTTGATTTCTTCTAGAAAGTATCCACAGTATAGAGTACTTTGAAAAATGTTAGAAAAATGCATGTGTGTGTATTCCTGAACTGGGTACTAACCTGAAGTATCTTAAGTTTAATATTCAGTATAAAAGATCATAAGAGTTATATGTGCCCTCTAAATTTATCTCATGCCCCAAATATAGCAGGTTAGCTAGGCTGCCACTTCTTCCTGTCATTTTTATTAGGTGTTTTTACCAGTTTCTGATTGTATGTAAAAATTGAGAGATTTACTAATTGTAAGTTAAATATGGAATGAATGGGAAAAACTGTTTCTTATCACTGTGGGAAGAAGCAGCAGGAAGAAGGTGGTAGAGCCTACAGAAGCTTGACATCAGTGTGGTTAGGTCAGATTGTGGCTTAGACACCTGTTGTGTGGAACCTCAAAATTTATTTTTAATCTGTCTGCCAAGATGTTATGAGCCTAGTTGGTCCTTTTAACTCAAGAGAACCATGTTTTCCAAAGACAGAGAAATGAGAACTTCCTAACTGCCATCCCCTCAGGTCCTAGATGGCCGAACTGCCTGTCTCACACCATAGAACTGGCAAAAAGTGATGCTTGCATGAAAGCAGGACACTTTCTGTTTTTCAGAGGTGTTAAAATCACTTTGGGAGCTATGAGAGTATCGCTCACTCTCCCGAACAAGGCACCATCCTACAGGCTAATGGTAGAAAATAGTGAGATGCTCTGTGACCGATAGATTGCCCAAACTAACCTGAGCTGGTTGTTTCCAGGCCACAGTTGAGTCCTGGGTCAAAGACAAGATGCCAAAAAAATCTGGTCGCTGGTGGTTTTGGCGTAAGAGAGAAAGCATGACCAAACAGGTAACAGATCTAGAGGTAATCATTTCCATGGGCTGAAAAGAAATGAATCTTTCCTTTGTTCAAGAAACTTTTTTGCAACTACAGAAAATGCTACATGGTGCTATTTTTAATAACAGTTCCCATTTTTGAGCAGTTATTGTGAACAAGTACAATGCTAGTTGCTTTATGTACATTACCTCCAGCCTTTACTACAGCTCAATACTAGAGATATTTAAATTGCAATTTTACTGGTAAAATCAGGTCTTAGTTTCCCAAAGCTTTCTGAGAAAGAGGATTTAGAGACTTTGGCTTGTTTTTCAAAGCTCAAAAGGATAGTCATGCCTGAACTAAGTTCAAGTGCGACATCAGCTTAGTCTCCAGGCTGCCTTCTAGTCCTTTCTCAAGCAGATTCTGAGCTGTACTCCGAGGAGGAGAGACAAATATCAGTCACTTCCATTTTGCAGTCCCAGTGTGTCTGCCAGGGATCTTACAAGTTTGGGCTAGTTGTATTCTATTTTGTGCCTTGAAGTCTTGCTTTTCTAAGATCTTTTACCTCTGGCTTTGAAGGGACAGCTTTTTGTGTGGCAGCACACAACTTCTATCTCAGATTTCTGTCCTTTGGCTCAAAGTAGTATCTATTTTCTAAGCATTTTTAAGTTGTGGACTCAGAAAGCAGTTTTCTTTGAGAGGGTTGCTGATGAACTTGGGCTTGTCTGTGGGGAAAACATTTCACAGTGTCATTATCATCCTTCTGTTTCAGTTGCCAGAGGCCAAGGAGGGAAAATCTGAGGCACTGCCGTCCAGTGACCTGCCGTCAAACACCAAGGAGCCAGCCAATGCCAGGTGGGGGTGCCTTTACCTTCCTTCCTGCTCACAGCTCTTGGGCTGCTCCTGCTGTGGCTGTTGCAACTAAGTTGGCTTTGGCAGTTTTATTTAATTCTTAGTCAGAAATGTCGTCTTCTATAGACCGATGTGGCATTGAATACTTTGTTCCACTTTGTAGTTGACAGCTTCTGGTTTTCTAAAAATATGTGTGTGTGGGGGAGGGTTATATAGGGGGTAAGGGGTGGATGGGTAAGGGGTGGATGTAGATGTGCTCGTCACTGCTCCCTGAATACCTTGTCCCTGCTGTGAAGCCATGGAATTGGGTGTCTAAGGCATGGCTCTGGGAAGGATCCTGTGGGTCGTGTAAAGAGATGCTATCCCAGTGTCTCTGCTCGCTCTGCCTCCTGTCAGGTCCAAAGGGAAGACATAAAAAGAATGTAAAGGGCTGGTTTGAGTGCCTTTTGTTTCCCAGATGAAGAGGTATCCTCTGGACGTTTGGACTGGCCACCCCTGAGGGGTTGCTCCCATACAGTGTGCCCCATTCTTATTGCTGCCATCTGTTTACATTCCCTAGTCCAGTTCTTCTCCACCCCCTAACTCCTGAATGCAGTACTCTGTATAAACTTAGTTTCTTTTCTTACCTTGTACCATTTTCTTTGTAGGAGTGCATAAATTTTTTTTTACTAGTTTTTTAAAATCAGTTTAGCTGCCGGCGCCGCGGCTCACTAGGCTAATCCTCCGCCTTGCGGCACCGGCACACCGGGTTCTAGTCCCAGTCGGGGTGCCGGATTCTGTCCCGGTTGTCCCTGTTCCAGGCCAGCTCTCTGCTGTGGCCCGGGAGTGCAGTGGAGGAAGGCCCAAGTGCTTGGGCCCTGCACCCGCATGGGAGACCAGGATAAGTACCTGGCTCCTGCCATCGGATCAGCGCGGTACGCCGGCCACGGCGGCCATTGGAGGGTGAACCAACGGAAAAAAGGAAGACCTTTCTCTCTGTCTCTCTCTCTCACTGTCCACTCTGCCTGTCAAAAAAAAAGAAAAAAATCAGTTTAGCCTGGGGCCAGCATTGTGGTACAGTGAGATAAGCCACTATCTGTGATCCTGGCATTCTGTATGAGCACCCATTCAAGTCCTGGCTGCTTCACTTCTGATACAGCTCCCTACTGATGCTCCTGGGAAAGCAGCAGAAGATGGCCCGAGTGCTTGGGCCCCTGACACCAGTATGAGAGACCAGATGTAGTTCCAGGCTCCTGGCTTTGGCCTGGCCCGGTTCTGGCTATTGTAACCACTTAGGGAGTGAACCAGCGGATGGAAGATATCTCCCCCCCCCCCTTCCCTCTTTCTGTCAACTCTGCCTTTCTTTTTTTATTTCACAGGTAGAGTTATAGACAGTGAGAGAGAGACAGAGAGAAAAGTCCTCCCTTCATTGGCTCACCCCCTAAATGGCCTCCACGGCCGGCACTGCACCAATCCGAAGCCAGGAGCTTCTCCTGGTCTCCCACATGGGTGCAGGAGCCCAAGCTCCTGGGCCATCCTCCACTGCCCTCCTGGGCCACAGCAGAGAGCTGGACTGGAAGAGGAGCAACCGGGACTAGAACCGGCGCTCATATAGGATGCTGGCGCCGCAGGTGGAGGATTAGCCAAGTGAGCCATGCGCCAGCCCCCTGCTTTTCAAGTAAATAAAAATAATTTTATTTTTTTTAAAGAACCATTAGCCAAGAGCTTCATCTGGGTCTCCCATATGGGTCCAGGGGTCCAGGGGTCCAAGCATTTGGGCCATCCTTTGCTGCTTTCCCAGGTGCATTAGCAGAAAGCTGAATCAGAAATGGAGCAGGGACTGGGGCTGTGGTGTAGTAGGTAAAGCCACTGCCTGCAGTGCCGGCATCCCGTATGGGCACCAGTTCGAGTCCCAGCTGCTCCTCTTCCGATCCAGCTCTCTGCAATGGCCTGGGAAAGCAGTAGAAAATGGCCAGAGTGGGAGACATGGAGGAAGCTCCTGGCTTTAGATCGATGCAGCTGTTGGAGCCATTTGGGGAATGGACCAGCAGATAGAAAATCAATCAATCAATCAATCAATCAATCTCTCTCTGCCTCTTTGTTAACTCTGCCTTTCAAATAAATAAATCAATCAATCTTAAAAAAAAAAAAAGGTGGTAATATCTGTCCCACAAAATCATTTAAAAAAAAAAAAAAAGTGGAGCAGCCAGGACTCGAGCCAGCACCCATGTGGGATGATGTGGGATGCCAGCACTGCAGGCAGATGCTTAACCATCTACACCACAGTGCCAGCCCAAAAATCAATATTTAAAAATATATAAAATCAGTATAGTCATTTGTTGCTTAACAACAGGAATGCATTCTGAGAAATACATCTTAGGTGGTTTTGTTGAATAGGAAATCAGAGTGTGCTTGCACAAACCTATATAGTGTAGCTGCCTACATACCTAGGCTGTATTATAATCTTATGGAACTGTTGTTGTATGTGCAGTCTGTGGTAAACTGAAACATTATGTGGCACTTGACCATGTGAAAACAATTTTTTTTTGAATTTGTACCTTTTGAAACATAAATAGCCTTTTCAACAGGAGTCAGTAGACCTCATAGTATTCACTGAGGATAGCAGAAAATTTCAGATCATAACCAGAAAGTAACTGTGCTAGTTATGAGAGGGAAGGGGACAGTAGCCTTCTCAGTTAATGATACAAATATTTTAGACATGAGAAATTGTAGCGAGGGAGAAATGACGGAGCAAACAACTTTTTCTGTTCCTAGAAAGCATTGAGGATGTGTTTTATTTTCTTGATCCTAAATGAAGAGCTCTTGGCAATTAAATCCCACTGCCTCTTCACTAATTGGGTTGATGTTGAATAGGCCAGCTGAGGACGACTCATCAAGTGACGAGGGGTCTCAGGAACTCGAAGAATCTATTAAAGTGGACCCTATACCCCCTGAGCCCCTGAGCCATGGCAGCACAACCTCATATAAGAAGTCTCTCCGACTCTCCTCTGACCAGATCGTGAGTGTTCTGTGATCCATGTGGATCCAGTAGAACGTCAGTAACTGTTTAATTGGACCTGCTTACTCTTCTGTTCCCTCTTGTTCCCTGCCATAAAAACACTACATGGTGTGTGGTCATGTAAATGATCATCTATAGGGGACAGTGTCTCTGTCTTTCAGGCCACCTGGGGATCCTATGACATGGGTTCTTCCACCACCAGAGCTCTCTCATCCCCAGGAGTGAGCTGAGGAATCTATTTTTAATGTGTTTCCCTGACACATCTTCCACAGCCAACCCAGCACTGAGCCATGGAGTATCTCTTGAGAACCACACAGTAGAAAAATACCATGTTTAGGCATAATTTCCCTTTTCCATTAATTCCACCCCTGACTTTGACCCATTTTCTGCTACCAGTAGGAGCCTGTGGTCTAGGCAGTGATTCTCAATGTGGAGGAAGAATAGAGAGGTTTGTTTTGTGGGGATCAGGAAAGTCCTTGGAGTCCCAGAAGACTGTTTCAGCAGTGGCTCCCTCAGCCCATGTCATTGTGAGCACGCTCAGCACTAGGTCAGTCTGCATCCTAACACCGGAGGAACCATCCTGCCTTACGGTTGTTGGAATCCTGAAACACCAGTCATTGTAAATTTTTAAACTCTGCTCCAGATTGTTTTCAGCTGATTTCTCTTTATTCTCTTTATGAAAGGCAAAACTGAAGCTCCACAATGGCCCAAATGATGTTGTATTCAGTATCACCACCCAGTATCAAGGCACCTGCCGCTGTGCCGGCACCATTTACCTCTGGAACTGGAATGACAAGATTGTCATTTCCGATATCGATGGAACAATAACCAAGTAAGCCCGAGCTTAGGAAGTGATAGACACTGGGGCAGGGTGGGGGTGGGTGTCTGCACCTGGGGCACCCAGCCCACAGGCATAACCAAGAGTGCTTTTTAAACCGTATGCCATGCAACATCCTTAATGTCATCTACACTCATTCTAGAGATGAAGGAAGATGGGTGGAGGCATATAAAAGGACAAAAATAACTTTTGGAAAGATTAAGATATTCAGCCTCCAAATTCTGACATTAAAAGAAAACAAACTTGAGATTAGGGAGGAGGAGGAGAAGATGCATTATCTCTGAAAATGAACATTTGCTCTTTGTGTCACTCCACTTTTAGAAGCACCTTAGTAAGTACATTGCAGGAGGCTGCCTCTCAGTAGCAGAAAGGGTGATGAAATTGGTTTTGTAGAGTGTCCATACCTGCTCCCCAGACAGCGTTTATTGGCAACTGATATGCAACCAAACAGGAAAACACTCGGCTTTGTGAATTCCTATTTCTACCTTCTTTTTAGGTCTGATGCTTTGGGACAGATTCTTCCACAGCTGGGTAAAGACTGGACTCATCAGGGCATAGCGAAACTCTACCATTCCATCAATGAGTAAGTATCCCCTCCTGTGTCCCCTGGCTCTGGAGGGCTGGAGTTGTGCTTTAATCATTAAAGAAAAATCGCATCTTTGGTCAGTCTACATGCGTTGTATGTTTATGGCCCAGCTATTCCTGCTCTTGCTTCCCACCCCTTTCCTTACAGCCTCACACAAAGAAAAGTGGCAACCACCACTAGGAGCCTGAGCTTTGTGTGTCCAGCTCTGCAGCACGATAATATCTGAGCTAATTCTCACACTGCCATGAGTTTTAAGCACTAGCTGTATCTATGAGTGGTCTTCAAAAAAGTTCACAGGAAATGTATTCTGGAAAAAACTACTCAGGGATTTCAGCATCTTTGTGTTAGTTATTTTTAAATTCCATATTTCCAAAAATGTTTTGTGGTACCTCAAGTAGTGATAGTTGTAATTTTTTTTAAGATAGAATTTAACAAGAGGGGTGGGCATTGTGGCACAGTGGGTTAAACTGCTGCTTAGGATGTCCATATCCCATATCAGAGTCTAGTTCAGCTCCCAGCTACCCTGATTCCAATCTTGGTTCCTTTTGTTGTACTTGGGAAGGCAGCAAATAATGGCCCAAATATTTAGCTCCCTATCATGCATGTGAGAGACCTGGATGGAGTTCAAAGTTTCTGGCCTCAGCCTAACCCAGGGGAGTGAACCAGCGGATAGAAGATCTGTGACTCTGCCTTTCAAATAAATAAATCTTTTTAGATATATCTATATCTATATTAGATATAGATATCTAGATATAGATAGATATATACATATACATATACATATACATATACATATACATATACATATACATATACATATATTGGGGCCGGCACCTTGGCATAGTATGCTAAGCCCCCGCCTGCAGTGCTGGTACCTTATATGGGCTCCAGTTCGAGTCCTGGCTGTTCCACTTCCGATCCGGCTCTCTGCTATGGCCTGGGAAAGCAGTAGAAGATGACCCAAGTGCTTGGACCTCTGCCCCTGCATGGGAGACCCAGAAGAAGCTCCTGGCTTCAGATTGGCTCAGCTCCAGCCTTTACAGCCATTTGGGGAGTGAACCATCAGATGGAAGACCTCTCTCTCTCTCTTCCTCTGCCTCTCTAACTCTGCCTTTCAAATAAATAACTAAATCTTTAATATGTGTGTGTGTGTGTGTGTGTGTGTATCAAGAAAGTTGATTTTCATTCCTGGTTGATTTACAGTTTTTTTTTTTTAAGATTTATTAATTTGTTTGAAAGGCAGAGATACAAAGATGGGGGAAGAGTTACAGAGAGAGAAAGAGAGACAGACAGACAGAGAGAGAAAGAGGAAGAGAAAGAGAGAGAAAGAGAAATATCTTCCATCTGCTGGTTCACTTCCCAAATGGCCACAACAACTGAGCTGGGCCAAGCTGAAGCTTGGAGCCTGGAACTTTATCTGGGGTCTCTAGTGTAGGTGCAGGAGCCCAAACACTTGGGCCATCTTCCACTGCTTTCAGGCGCATTATTGGGGAGCTGGATTAGTTGTAGAGCAACTGCCACTTGAACTGGCACTCATATTGGATGCTGGTGTTTCAAGCGGCAGCTTAATCTGTTGGGCCACAACACCAGTTAACTATTTCCTGAAATTTTTTAACTGTAATACTTTGAGTAGATACTACATGCATGCATGGGAAAGCAATTCACTCATAGGGTGATCCCTTTCTGATGATTCCTTTTTTAAAAAAAATTAATTAATTAATTTGAAAGGCAGAGTGGGAGGGAGGGAGGAAGGGAAGGATATCAAGATATCAAGATCTTACATCCGCTGGTTCATTCCCCAGATGGCCACAATGGCCTGAGCTGGGCCATACCAAAGCCAGGAGCCAGGAGCTTCTCCCAGGTCTCCCACATGGGTGTAGGGGCCCAAGGACTTGGGCCATCTTTTACTGCTCTCCCAGGAGCATTAGTGGAAAGAGCTTAATCAGAAGTGGAGCAGCCAGAACTTGAACCAACAACCATAATGGGATGCCAGTGTTACATACAGGCAGCAGCTTTATCTGCTGCACCACAACCCCAGCCCCTCTCAGTACCCTTTGAGGGAAAACATTGCCATCTAAGGCTTTTGTAGGACCCTAATGCTACAAATAAAATTGATTTGAAAAATTAGAGCATATTCATGTTTCTCCCTCTTCTTTCTGTAACTCTGCCTTTCAAATAAATAAATAAATCTTTTAAAAAAAACTAGAGCATCTTCAGCAATAGTGAGAAGGCAATACTACTAAAATTACGAATGTGACAGCTAACCAAAAATAATTTTGCTCCACGTCTGTGGAATGGTTTTTATTCTGTAAATTGTCCTTTTAAATAAAATCCCTTGTTTCTTTCATTTACAGCAGATAGTTAAGAGATAGTCTAGAATTTTTGTTCTGTGATCTGACTTGTAGGCTAGATGCTTAGTGTATCAGAATTTATAAATTTAGCATAATCTCTAGTTTGCATAGTTTCATTGTTTTCGTTGGAGAGGTGAAGTCTTGATAATCCTAACCAGCTACCTCTAAATTCTTGAATTTATCAGAGCATGAAAATGACATTTTTTTTAAAGGATTGATTTATTTGAAAGGCAGAGTTACAGAGAGGCAGAAGTAGAGGGAGATCTTCCATCCACTGGTTCACTCCCCAAATGGCTGCAATGGCCAGAACTGGACTGATCTGAAGCCAGGAGCCAGGAGCTTCTTCCGGGTCTCCCAAGTGGGTGCGAGGACTCAAGAACCAGGGCCATCTTCCAGTGCTTTCCCAGGCCATAAACTGAGAGCTGGATCAGAAGAGGAGCAGCCAGGGCTCAAATCGGTGCCCATATGGGATGCTGGTGCTGCAGGCAATAGCTTTACCTGCTACACCACAGCACTGGTCCCGAAAACATTAATTACATCTGTTGAAAGAAAAGTGGGGGCCAGAGTTGTAGCATAATGGATTAAGCCACTGCCTGCAATGCTGGCATCTCTTCTGGGTGCCAGTTTGAGTCCAGTCTAGCTCCCTGCTCATGTGCCTGGGAAAGCAACAGACGATGGCCCAAGTGCTTGGGCATCTGCCACCCACATGGAAGACCCACATGGAAGACCTGCAGTAAGCTCCTGGCTTCAATCTGGCCCAGCCTTGACCATTATACACTTTTACGGAGTGAGCCAGCAGACAGAAGAGCTCTCTGTTTTTCAAATAAATTAAAAATAAATAGAAAAGTGTTTTTTCTTCCTTTAGTAAAAACACGTGGGCTAAACAGGCTATGTTTTCTTTCAGGAATGGCTACAAGTTTCTGTACTGTTCTGCGCGTGCCATCGGCATGGCCGACATGACCCGAGGGTACCTGCACTGGGTCAACGACCAGGGCACCATCTTGCCCCGAGGCCCTCTGATGCTGTCGCCCAGCAGCTTGTTCTCTGCCTTCCACAGGTGCCTCCCCAGCGTTCACCCTTGTCTACCTCTGCATGTGGGATGGAACCAGGGACCAGACACAGAATATTTTCAAAAATTTAGGCACACACACTAGGGAAAACCATCGTTTTGAGTTTGGTGATTGTATTGGTGTATTTTTTCCTTAGGGAAGTGATAGAAAAGAAACCAGAGAAGTTCAAAATTGAGTGTCTAAATGATATCAAGAATCTGTTTGCCCCGTCCAAGCAGCCCTTCTATGCTGCCTTTGGAAACCGTCCAAATGTAAGTGTCTTCTCGGCTCCGATTCTGATGGGGGTGCAATTCAGAGGGGTGGGCTTTAAAGGGCCTTAGCCATTCTTCAGCAGGCTTTGTCAGCAAGAGAAAATGTCCTTTCTGCTCTCCAGGTTTTCACTTGATCTGTTCCAAATTCCTGTAACAATTGTGAGAATCCTGTAGGTACAGATTGCCTCAGAATTTGTACAAACAAAGGCACCTACTCTGCCCTGGGGCTTCAGTTCCATTTCCTTAGGCTGCTCTGACTCACGTTCTGAGAGGCTCTTAGCCTTGTCCTTGGGCCTGCTCCAGACCCAGTTTGAATGCTCACTCTTCCTTATCACCTCCCCCACCTGCCTCCCTTCCTCTGGGGCCCTTGAATCTCAGGCGTGCAGAAGGCATTGCTTCCCGGCCTTTTCCTGCTCCAGGGCCACTGGCTTCTCCTTCTTGGCTGCCCATGGTTCTGACCTTCCCATGTGTTGAACTTGGCACAACTCTTCTTAGTTTGGGTTTATCTGAAGCTCAGTGTCAATGGCAGGGCTGCCCTGTGCCCAGCCCCACATGTTTTCCATAGAATCTTCTGTTTATGCAGTGCTGTGGCTCAACAAGGAGCTGGAGAAGCATCTCCTAACTTCTTCTCCCTGGAGTCACCCTGCTTGATGTTTCCTTCTGCAGGATGTCTATGCATACACACAAGTTGGAGTTCCAGACTGTAGGATATTCACCGTGAATCCCAAGGGTGAATTAATACAAGAGAGGACCAAAGGAAACAAGTCATCGTAAGTGTAATTCCCAGTCTTGGCCCAGTGTCCTGCAGGAAGCGGGGGCGGGGGTGTGTGCACATGGGGATGGACATTCACTAAGATCAGCCCCATCTTGGAGGATGAACCTCTGGGTGTCTTCTCCTCCAGAATAGCTGGTTCTCCTAGTCGTGTCCGAGGAGGTCTGTGCCTTACAGCAGGACTGACCCATCTCTTAACCTGCCCATCTGAGGAATCTGAGAAACCAGCCTTGTAACCCATGATCTTGTACTTTTGACCAATTTTAAGTAACAGCTTGTGTCCTCCTCAATCCCTTCTCCTAGATATCACAGGCTGAGTGAACTTGTGGAGCATGTGTTCCCACTCCTCGATAAGGAACAGAATTCTGCCTTTCCGTGCCCAGAGTTCAGCTCCTTCTGCTACTGGCGAGACCCCATCCCTGAGGTGGACCTGGATGACCTGGCCTGAGGCAGCATCTCTGGTAGTGAAGGGGCTGCAGTTACTCGCCCCACGGCAAAGGAAGGTGGCCGGACACCTGCTCACCCAAGCAGGGACAGGATTCCTGGAGCTGGCGCTGCTGACCTCCTTCGCCTTCCCAGGCCACTGCTCAGCACCTGGAAGCAGGAGCGAAGGGTTTGACTTGGGTTAGAGGCCTACGGTCCATCACACGCAGGCCCTCACACGTGCTTTTTGCCGAGTTATGTGCTGGCTGCTCCTTCAGTTGTATAATATGAAACGAAAAAAGCTAAAAAGGAGTGGACCAAAACATTATACGAAGTAAAGTATTATCATTTCCACTGGGCAGTTGGGATTGTTTATCTCGGTAACCAGGGCTTTTTCCAGAGGGTCAGGGTCCACTGAACTGCCCCAAGTCCAGTTTGTGATACTGGCTGAAACTGCACACAGCTCCTCTCCAGGCCCTTCCTTTGCTGCACACTGAAACAACGGTGCTCAGGTGTGCCAAGCTGGGGGGGCCTCCAGGGGAGAATATCCCCTCCTGTCGTCATTTTTTCATCTGTGACTACTCCATGCTGAGACGCCTTTAAGTTATTTCTTAGACATAGCCAGAAGAACAGATCTTGTAGGTCTATATTTGATATCTGTAATAAAAGTACTAATAGCAGGAAGTTGGGTTTTAAAGCAAACAAACAAAAACCATAACAGTTGTTTTCAAGGAAGCCTCAGACGCAGGTGTGCACTTGTGTTTGCCCTTGGGAGTAGACCTTTTTTCTGTCTCTACCTGTTGCCTGGCTTAGGTGGGCCTTTGGGTGTCTTGCTTTGGGAACAGGATGCCCGGAATTTGGTGCTTCCGATTTGTTAGGGAAGCACAGAGGAGCTTGTGTAAAGGTCACTGGCCAGCAGGGATTGGCTCTGGCACTTATAATTACAACCCCATAGAAAGCTGGTGGAAAGCGTGTAAGTGCGTTTTTGGAGTTGCCTGTGGAGCGATCTGCCCTCTGCAGTGTCCTGAGCCCACCATTCTGCCTCTTCCATTAGCCAGGGACTCCTGTGCTCTGCCACACAGAGGCTGCCCTATGAGATTTCACGGGGGCTTGAAGGGTACCCATGCATTGTCACTGAAATGTACATCACCGCTTCATTTACTGACTTGTGAGAAGCTCACGTCAGCGGGGAAGGGCGTGTACTGAAAGTCCTCCTGAGTGTTTCTGGGTGCTGACAGTGTCTGCGGTGTTAACAGCAAGAGCACCATTAGCAGACTTTCAGGGAACCAGCCACAGCCCCGTGTCTTAGTCCTCACTGGGTATGTGCAGGAGGTGGAGACACAGACGTCATCCTGGAAGGGTTTTCTTTCCAGATTTTCCTGCCTCTGCTGTTGTGTTGGAGACATCTTTTTGTTTTAGTTTGCCTCATCCAAAATAATACTGATCTGAAGTTTGAGTAAAGGGGTAGTTATTTTTCCAGATTGGAGAGTTCAGAATCCTGGCTGATGGCAGCCAGTGTCCCAGTGCTGTTGGATGCAGAGACAATGTTGAACCTGGTTCTCAGTGGCAGAATGTTCACAGAGAGGTTGCACAAGGTTTCTCCAGGGCAAATATTCCCCCTTACGTAGTTGCCAAGGACTAGTAGTTCAGTGAGTTTATTTCTTACAAAACAAGGTTAGGGAAGTTAGGTTATGTTCAGTGACATTCTGCCCAGTTAGTGAAGTACAGTTGCAGTAGAGCAGCCATGCAGTTAGTTCCTCGATGTCATAGGCACCGTCAGTGTGTCCCCTCAGCCACCCTTGATTTACAGGAAGAGCGGGAGCTGCGTGTGCTTCTCCCCAGTTCAGTGGGAATTTGTATATATGTGGTACGCAAAAGCTTAATTCACATCTTTCTTAGTTCTTTTCGGTTATCCTTTAGAGTAGTTGACTGGTTTGTTTATTTTTCTTGACAAGCTCTTCTCTTTGGACACAGGGGCTTTCTCAGAGGGTGCACCCTAGGGCCTGGATCTCTGGGGCAAGGTTGAGGACATCTGGTCCCTCTGACCCAGTGTCTATTAGCACTAGACTTTGTTGCTGCAGATTGATCCAGTGGGTACATAGGCTAATTAATGTGAGTCTCTTTCCTTGTTTAAAGGAGTCCCTGTTGCTGAAAGTAGATGATTACTTTTGCTGTAGTGTTATGAACGTATTAGTTTGTGCTGAAAATCCATTGCCATTTGGTACAAATGACATTGTTCTTTCTGTGAAAGAGAGATGCTCTCGAGTGTGTTTGTACACAAACCTGAGAATGGTGAATTGAAGCATCACCCTAGGCTGGCCTCGGTGGGTGAGGTTGCAGGCAGATGGGGCTCTGCTGAGTCAGTCAGTCGGCCGCTCCATCGGTGACAGAACCCCTTTACCCCTTTCCAGTTCAGTCTGGTGTTAGTATTTGCTTTCATGTCCCTGTGTTGAGGCGTGTACTGGTGTGTGGTGGGCTTGACAGACCTGGAGCAGGCAAACTGAACCCTTATTCAAGGACTGTTTTGCTGTGCTTAAAAACATTTCATAATTTTCAGTTGGAAAAGGGAAAAACTAATGAGACGTCCTAAAGTCATCGGTAGAACAGCTGAGGAAGCAAGCTGACACGGTGACTGGAAAGCATGTCTGCCCCTCAGCAGCCCACCTGGCCACCGGGCCTGTGCACACAGCCCTGCCGCTGTTTGCTCTTGAAGGTGTGCAGGCAAGACCTTTTCAAGAAGAAACGGTTAGAAAAAAGGAAGCTCCTCTTCTTTTTGCAAGTTGGCGAAAACAGATTCTTCCAGGGAGTTTTACAAGTGTCATCGTATTCATTCTGCAAAGCTTTGTTTCCCCCGCCTTTTTTTTTTTTTTTTTTTAAATAGAGCATTCCGGGTTTAATAAAACTGGTTAGGTATTAGTTAAAATGAGTGCTCTTCCAGGTGAGAACTGCTTTTTCGGTTTGCTTTGAAGGTAAGAAAGAGGGAGGGGGGAACTTTGCTCTTTTAATTTAATAATTATGTTCAGCCTCTGATAAAGTATTTGATTATTAGACAGCAATGCCACTAATAACTTTTAAGTTGTCAAAAATTAATTGTAAACATCAGTACAGTACTCTTAGTTATGGTAAAGACAATTGTCTTAAAATGAATGGCTCATATTTTGATGCAGTGTTTGATGTTCAAAACAAAATGTTACAACAATAAAAAAATTAAACAATGCATTTGACTCTTTCCTTCTGGGGACATTTAAGCCATCTTTGTACTCTTGCCAGAAATAGATAATTTCCATAAATTAGCATTTTGATCTTTGCTGATGCTGAAATTTGTCTAAACGGAAGACTTATTTTTGGTGCTTATTTTTAAAACCTTACTGCAGGGCCGGCGCCAGGGCTCAATAGGCTAATCCTCCGCCTTGCGGCGCCTGCATACCGGGTTCTAGTCCCGGTCGGGGCGCTGGATTCTGTCCCAGTTGCCCCTCTTCCAGGCCAGCTCTCTGCTATGGCCCGGGAGTGCAGTGGAGGATGGCCCAAGTGCTTGGGCCCTGCACCCCATGGGAGACCAGCAGAAGCACCTGGCTTCTGGCTTCGGATCAGCATGATGTGCCAGCCGCGGCGGCCATTGGAGGGTGAACCAACGGCAAAAGGAAGACCTTCCTCTCTATCTCTCACTGTCCACTCTGTCAAAAAAAAAAAAACACACACACACACACACACACACACAAACCTTACTGCAGAAGTAAGGCTGTACCCACAGGAACTACCCTCTCTGGCTTTGTACATTCTGCCAGGAAGTGACTCAGTCATGCATATGTAATTTCTGTTGTAGTCTGGCTGGAATTCAGACTGGGTTGCCCTCTTGCCCCTTGGCACCCCACCTTTCATTAACCCCTACCATTTAGCAGCCTCGATGTTTTCATCGAGTGATCTTTGCTCACAAACCACATCTGTTACTTAAATGAGGATCTGTGTCATCTCAGATCACTGGGCCTTTACCAGAGCAGCTTTTGTTGAGTCAGAGTCCCTCCTTGAGAATGAACTTTTACATTTCATGCTGTTCCATCATGACATGATGGCCGGGTGATGGGAACCATCGGTCTTTGGAGTGCATTTTGGCAATAGAATGGAAGCACTCAGACCAGAAGTTTGATTATAAAGAAGTGGCTCTGAGAGCCGTCAGGATCATCAGGTCAACACAAACTCTTTAGATTTATGTATTTGAAAGGCGGTGTTAGAAGGACAGATCTTCCATCCAGTGGTTCACTCCCCAGATGACTGCATAGGCCAGGCCAAAACCAGGAGCTCCTTCTGGGTTTCCCACATGGGTGCAGGGGCCCAAACACTTGGGCCATCCTCTGCTGCTTTCCCAGGCACATTAGCAGGGAGCCGGATTAGGAATGGAGCAGCTGGGACTTGAACCAGCACCCATATGTGATGCCACCATTGCAGTCAGCAGCCCAACCCACTGGGCCACTATCCCAGTCCCGGTATGATGGCTTCTCATAGGGGCTGCCTCAGAGCCCACCTTCCCACTCCCAGCCCTTGAGCTCAGCTGTCTGTTTTCTGTCTATACCGAAAGGTCTTGCCTTGCTAAAGCTGTGTCTCCTAAATGGGCCAGGACCATCTTTCATCCTCATTTATTTTGGAGTAAATACAGGATCCTGCTGTAAATCAGGCTTGTTCTGTTTTGCCTGCCTTGGATACATAGAGCCAAACTTAACTTTTGTCAATAAATGAGGATTCACTGAGAGAAAAGGACCAGGTCGTACTTCATGCTCTGGAGAGCCGTCTATGATAGAGTAGTAAAAGGGGAGAACATTTCTCTACCTGCTCTGGCCCCTGCCTGTTCAGCCATTGACCATGTGTCCCCTTTGGGCTGAGTAATCTCTTTAACGAGAGAGTAGTCCATGGAGAGGAGAGTGAAACCATGTGCACTTGCCAGCTGGGTTTCCTAAAAACCTCCACTGTGTTGGGTTTTTTCCATGAGTCATTTCTAGGACAGCCAGGGGTACTGACACCTCCCCAGCTGCAGAAACGAGGGGTGAGGAGGCTGTTATCCCCGCCCCCCTCTGCCCCCTCCTGAAGAGAGGGATCCAAATTTTAACTGAGTAAAACCGCAGACCTGTAGTTCCTGCTCCCTCTTCCACAGCTGGGGTGGACAGATAAGAACTCTGATGGGCGTGGTGACTTTCATTTGCAAACAGACCTTGAAAGTCTGCATTTTGTAGCATTAGAGCATCTTCCCATGGCTCAATACAGGCCAAGGAAATCAGAGCTTTTGTTTCTGCCATCCAAACCTTGTCCAGGGGCCCCGGGGGGTACTTAACTGACCAGGTTTCCCAAAACTGAGTAGCAAAAACTGCCCTGAGCCGAGGATCTCCTGTGCCTGGAAGTTTCTGGGGCTGTTGGTGAAAGATCATTGTGCCTGGCCCCCCACTCCCTCAGAACAAGCACATGCTGGCTCTGGGGAGATCCTGCCTCCCACATGATCTCAGTGTTCCGTGTGTGAGCAGCTTTATGTTGGGCCTGTTGTTGCTTAGAAACCTGAGAATTCATAAAGTTGTGTCTGCCAACACGCTGTGCAGTGGAGCGATGAGGATCTGCTCATTAGCCTGGCAGCTGCCGATTACATGCAAGTTTCCAGCATCCCCTGGAGGAGCCATCCTGTGCCAGATCACACAGGGGCCCTGACCTCCAAGCACATCTGGTCCATCTTTTCAAGCCAAAAGCAAAACCCAAGCATCCAGCTTGGGTACTGATGGGTAACTGTTAAACGACTGATGATTAGTTAATGCAAGATCACTTTGTACTGCCATTTTTTAAAAGTTACCTTTCTACAGTTTGTTTTTTCACTCCCACTCCATAACGTACGAGACATAAGTAACTTGAAGAGGTTTTACATCTTTATTGGCACTCCCTGTCATTGCACTTAAGTTGTACATGTCATTTAAGGAGCCCATTAAGCTTCATAAACAGTCTCAAGTGCATCCCCCTTTGTAGCTGGACCAAGGCCCAGGTGAGCAGGGATAAGTCCCCGGCAGCGATGGTGACTCACGCATGGAAGAGCCCCACGTGGAAACACTAGGTCTCTGGGTGGTGGCTCAGACCACTTCAGCATTTCAGTGTTTACACTTCTCTCCTGTGCACAGTGTGAATACAGACAGACAGCTGGCTATGGTGTGATGCTCCAGCGAAGAACAGACACAGGCGACCAGCCTCCATGCAGCAGCTCTTCATCAGCAGGACACGATCCTATGGCTTGGCTCTACAGGGAGCAGCGTGAGCCTCAGTGGTTAGCACCGTGTGGGTTCAGCCCAGGAACCCTCGGAATGAGATGGAGGCCTCAAAGACACAAGGGGAGGAACCGGCTTCCAGCACAGGGACGTTTCCAGGCCTTCCAGTTGTGCAGTTACAGTGACAGAAAAATCAGCGCCACATTCGCCGTGAGTTTGCTCCTCACTGCATGCCTGGAACCTGGAAGGGCTGGTGACCTTGACAGTGAGGTAAAGCCTTTATCTTGGGGGCAGACAGTGGGACATAGAAAGATCTAGACCAGTGCTCCAGTTACATACATAAACAGAATATATTAAGGCTTCAGAGTTTTTACAACTACTTTCCCCTTATCTGTCCCCAGCCACCCTAAAGGGGGGAAAGGAAAGGATATAAGAAAACCCCACTGAATGTGGAATACATTTCATCAAAGTCCGTGTGGGCTAACCTGCCCCCGGTCACCACAACATTGACCCCATCTCCTGCCTTCAGGTGCACGATGAGGTGGAAGGCCCCTGGGCCCCCACAGGTGTGCAGGGCCCCTGGGGGCCGGTGGTACTCCAGGAACTCCCTCTTGTACCCAGCTGTGTGCAGCTGGGCCACACTGGCATTGGACACCGACAGGACTGCTTCCACGTAGGCATCCCTCTCGGGAGTGAGGGTGGCGGTGATCAGGTAGCGCCCATCGTATGGAGCCGTGAAGATCCCTGGGAGGAGAAAGGCACTGGTGTTTATCTGGTACAGTCAGGGCACAGAGGGTTTAAGTTAGCCTGGGTGTGGGGGCTGTGGGGAAGCAACATCTCAGCTTGCCCGGGACTGCCCTGGTGCCCAGCCCGGGATTGTTGGGCTCACATCCCTGTAGAGGGACGGCTGGCAGAGGAGAGGGCAGACTGCTGGACGCCGCAGCCAGGGTGAGGCCGCAGGAGCCCACGGCAGCTCCCACTGACCCATTCCTCCTGCAAGACTCCCCGACTTCTGCTCGAACATCCTCCACCAATCGTCTCCAGAGACACCAGTTTAACAGCAGCTCTTCACGAACCTGTCTGTCTACCTTGACAAGAGCTGGGAAGCCAGGTGCGAGACCATAATGCCTGAGTGTAGTGTAGTGATGATGTGCTGGAGAGGGGAGAGGAGAGGTGCCCACGTCACCCTTCCCCCAACTCCAAGCAACAGCAGAGAAACATCTCTGGCATCCACCCGGAGCAACAGAGGCATTACAGATACATGGTGGCCCTAGGAAGAAGAGAGCTACACACTTGGCGTTCGCTACCTCATTTCAAGTTCAGCCGTGCACCAGAAGGGACTTGCTTGGTAGTGAGTGGGTAACAAGAGGCCCTTGCTGTCCCCAGTCCTGCCATAGACAGCTGAGGCATTTACTCCTGGGGAGCAGGGGACCCTTGCAGGTCCTACACCCTCTTGCCTCAGAGAGCCAGCTTCAGACCCACCCCTCACGGGGCCCTATGCAGCAGCTGTATTTGCAGCTCCCAATAACCAGACTCCCCTGGACCCCAAGAGATGACTTATTTGGACACATGGGCACAGCCTGGCCCCCATCCTGCTCCTAAGCACACTGTACCACACCTACCTGAGTCCACAGAGACAGCCCCACCCTCACACAATCCACAGGAACTGATGGGCACTGTGAACAAGGCCCCTAGCAAATTGCCCTGGGGGAGTTGCATCCTAGCTGGTGCTACAACCCCAGCAACCCAACCTACACGGAGACACTAACAGAGGATTGCAGCCGAAGAGGCTACCCCAAATCCACTAAAGCACCCACCTGGATGTTAGACACAGCGTGTCCAACCAACACCCTGGGACGTATCACCATCAAAGTCTTTTACTATGGAAGTCACTCTATAAACTTGGTAGAACCAACTGATTCACTGGATGCACAAGAAGCATATAAAAAGAACACAGTAACTTTAGCAAAGACCATAAATGATAGTCAAC